AGAGGCCTGATGCACGAAATTCATGCAAGGGGCTCTGCCCTCGCAGCCCTGGCTTCATCCAGAAAGTTGTCGTCCAGAAGGACATCCAGTCTAATTAGCATATTATGCTTTTATTATTATAGGTTACTTTGAGTTGCATTTGAAAACTAAGATTTTTATTTTAAATGCAAGAAAGTTATTCATAACTTTTTTTTTTAAAGAAAGGTCTGTTTGGTATTTTAGAAAATATCATTATTTAATGTATTCCATTAAGATTATAACCTGGGTCATTCTGGGCATTTTCCAGTCACCTGGTGCTAGCTGGGAAATGGTCCAGGGCAACATATAGACTTAGTTCAGATGCTTCCCAACACCCAGGTAATGGGAATTTTAAATGGTGATTGACCCCTCAGTATAAAAATACCTTGCCTGGTTCCCACTCTTCCTATCTAGAAAAAGAAATGCTAGAAAGTAACAACAAAAGTTTGGCAATTTTTATACTTATAAAAGAACTAATTAAGCAAAATAGTTAAGAATCTATAATAATAAAAGTGTAATATGCTGACTAGACCAGACAACTGAACAACCTTCCGGACGACCTTCCGGACAAAGCCGGGGCTGCAAGGGCAGAGCCCCTTGCACCAATTTCATGCATCAGGCCTCTAGTTGCTTTATAAAGATAAATCCTGTCAATTAATGCATACAGTGTTTGTTTTGGCATGCTATTTGTGGTTCTTCAATGGTAAAATCACTAAAGTCTTATTTACTTTGGTCTATGTTATGGTTGTTGGAATTTATCCAAAACTGTTTATCATTTTCTATTGAATGGTTCCACGTTTTCCTTTTATATTCTGCTTACAGCAGCTTCTTTTCCTATAATCCTGAATTAATAGTAATCTCAGGAAGAGGAACCAATATAAAAAACCGGGATGTATATTTCAAATGGCAAAATCAGTACTACTACCTAAGAGTATTCTTTAGGGTTTAGAAATAGCCAAAGGCCCTGACCGGTTTGGCTCAGTGAATAGAGCGTCAGCCTGCATACTGAAGGGTCCCGGGTTCGATTCCCGTCAAGGGCATGTACCTTGGTTGCAGCACATCACCTGTGGGGGGTGTGCAGGAGGCAGCTGATGGATGTTTCTCTCTCATTGATGTTTCTAGCTCTCTATCCCTCTCCCTTCCTCTCTGTAAACAATCAATAGAAATAGCCAAAGATTGAAGATGTTTCAGCGCTATTGCCAGAGAAAATATATTTGCTCAAAATATTTTTAAAAATTCTTTGCTGATCTATGAAATGCTTTAAAATAAATCTCTTTATCTCTTCTTATCAGAGCTATTTGAATCCTAGAACACTGTGGGGACTGAGGGGTAAGTAAAGCTATAATTTGCCTATAATTTGTTGTTGGTAATTGGAGAGGGTTTGGGGGTCAGAAAAGTAGTTCTTTTAAAAGGCCCCCTCAGATTAAATAACTTCTAACATTGACCATTTTGGACTTGAAAAATTATACTTTGCTTTGTGTGTACTGTAATAAGCTTGAAAACTCAATACAGTATATGAATATTATTTCAAAGTACATTTCATTCTACTTTTTTTCTTTTGTTCTACTTTAATTACACAAGTGTTAACTAATAATAGCTTTAAATTTCCAACAAACATAAATATACATTCTTAAATGTTTTCTACTCTTTTGTTGTGGTTTTGTTCCATGGGAATATAAAGATCTTGCTCATTATGACAAAATATGTGAGATTGTTGTATTTTTCTTTTAAAGTACTATGGAGATAACTAAGTAGAGCTGTGTGTAATAATTTACCAGAAAAACCTAATTCCTAAGTCTAGTTCAGTATATTTGGGTTTAAGTTATACTGCTAGCATTTCAGTGGCAATTCTCTTAATTCATTGTGGAAATTCCTAGAAAAAAATATAAAGAAGAGGCAAATAAGAGCTATGTAGAATATCAAAAGCCAATATTATGACATCAAGTTTTTCTGAGCTTTCTATAGTTTATCTTGTTCTAATTACTTCCATACTGGGGTATTCTTGGGGTCAACATGAAGGTCATTATAAAAATCAAACACTATTCCATTATGTGGTGTCATGTATGCACTGCAATCCAAGAGCAAGGAATGGAAGCACTCATTGCTGGGACAGACAATAAGGGGGGCAGTGTTTGTAGAGAATTTAAAAACACTAAACCTTATGAAAAGTCATCTGCTTTTTATTTTCAGGATCAAGGTAAACAATGACAGTGATAAAATATTCCTTCCTTGTTGGGCAGAATCCCACTACCCCACCCTTTGAACACTACTGCCCATATGAGCTCTAAAATACAGCATACCCAATGCATTGAAGAATGATCTTATTCCCACCTTTATTTTCAATTTTGAAAATATAAATGTAGAAGAATGTGTTATCAGTACTAGTGAAGGCAGCCCATAGCCTGTAATAACTTATTTTAAACAAATTTTTATTGATTTAAGAGAAAGTGGGAGGGAGGAGAGAGAAACATTGACTTGTTGTTCCACTTACTAGGTGTATCGGTTAATAATGCAGATTTTGTAATCAAAGAAAACACAATAATTTTAAGAGAAATATCAAAAGTGCTTTATTCAAAGTAATGTCCATCGCTAGCTACACATTTCCCCCATCTTTTAAGTAATTTGTGGATACCATCCCAACAGAACTTTTCTTGTTTTGAGGCAAACCATTTAGAGACCCAATTTTCCACTTCTTTGTACGTTTTGAAGTGCTTCTCAGAAAGTGTGTGTGCCATCGATTGGAAAATGTGGTAATCTGAAGGAGCAAGGTTTGGTGAATATAGCGGGTGGGTTAATACTTCCCAGGCAAGATCTTTTAACGTGTCTTTAACTGTTTTTGAAGTGTGTGATGGTGCATCATCAGGAAGTAAAATTACTGCCGTGTCTTCTGGCCCGTTCTGGTCGTTTCATGATCAAAGCATAGTTCAAATTGATTATTTGTTGTCGGTAGAGAACAGTATTTACGGTTTCATCTGGTTTTAGAAGCTCATCATACACCACACCTTCCTGATCCTACCAAACGCAGAGCATTGTCTTCTTTCCTAAGCCATTTGGCCTTGCAGTCGATGTTGATGGTTGACCTGGATCAACCCATGATTTTGTGCGTTTGGGATTCTCAAAATAAATCCACTTTTCATCGCTAGTCAAAATTCGATGCAAAAAAGACTTTCTTTTGTGCCGTTGAAGCAACATTTTACTGATGACCTTTTTGGTTTTCCATTTGTCTTGCGTTCAGTTGATGTGGCAGCCATCTTCCTTCCTTTAAAATCTTTCCCATTGCTTGTAAACGATCAGAAATGGTTTGCTGAGCAACGTTTAATCTTTCTGCAAGTTGTTTTTGAGTTTGACATGCATCTTCATCCAATAATGCTTGTAATTTTTGGTCTTCAAACTTTTTCGGTTGACCTGGACATTGTCTTTCACATTGAGATCATCACTTTTAAAGCGTTTAAACCAGCGTTAACAAATATCTTGAGATGGAGCATGTTCACCATAAGCTTCCCAAAGTATATGATAACTTTCAGCAGCACTTTTCTTCAAAATAATGAATTAAAACTTCCCGCAAATGCTTTTTTTGGTACGAAATTCGACATTTTTAAGTGTAAAAATATCTATGATAACACCTTCAGCAAATTTGACATATGAAGTTTTGAAGCTTGCTATCAATACAACAAAATAGCATACATATCAAATCGCATATGTTAACATATGTGTAACTCCATCTATTGAAAAAAATCTGCATTATTAACTGGTACACCTAGTATTTATGCATTCATTTGCTGCTGCTTCTGTTTCTTGACCAGGGATCAAACCCCACAATCTTGGCATATTGGGGACAACACTCTCACCAACTGAGCTAACTGGCCAGAGGTGTAATAACTTTAAATGTAAAATATACATAATGGCCCGGCCAGTGTGACTTAGTGGTTGAGCATTGACTTACGAACCAGGAGGTCATGATTTGATTCCTGGTCACAGCACATGCCCGGGTTATGGGCTTAATCCCCAGAAGGGGGCATGCAGGAGGCAGCTGATCAACAATTCTCTTTCATCATTGAAGTTTCTATCTCTCTGTCCCTCTTTCTTCCTCTCTGAAATCAATAAAAATATTTTAAAAATAAAATAGACATAATGCATATTTTTAAAAATTGCAGTGAAGTTGAGAGAGGAATTGTAGACATGAGCTTACAGATATTATAGACAGTGAACATTCACATAATGATACTTGAGTGATTTAAAGTCACAAGTTTGTGCCTAAGAAAATAATTGAAAGAGCAAAATATGTCACACTTGCATTTAATGCATAAGAATTTGTGTGGGCTATAGAACCACTAAGGATTTGACTCTTGGGCATTTCATTCTAAAACTTAGCATAAGACCTGTTTGTGTGTGTGTGTGTGTGTGTGTGTGTGTGTGTGTGTTTTCATATTAGACACCCATTCTTGAATAAGGATTTATCACTTTATTGACCTGGACCAATACAAATAAGCCAATTGGCTAGTGGCAATCAAGTTCACTTAATGAAGACCATGTGTATTTTAGCTGACACCTTGAACCCTGAGTTCATAAAGATAACAAGAATCATGGGACCAAAAAAGAAAAAGAAAGAAAAAACAATTAGCAAAAGAAAAACATTAAAGCACAAAAGCTCTTCATTGATGTTGTTATGCCCATGGTTACCTATACTTAGAGAATTCTCCAACACTGTTACCTATAACAGTCTGGAGATAGGAAAGGAACTAGTACTTTTTGGATGCAGGCATGTCTTCTTTCAAAGGCTCTGGTATGGGTATGGTGGGGGGTACCCATAATGAACAACAATAAGAAAACCATAAACATTTTATATACATGCAGAAAGGCAAACACAATGATAAAATGTTTAGACTAAAGAAATCATGTGAAATAAAAAGTAAAACTTATTAGTAATATCTGTAAAAAAATAATTTTACTTGCCTTGAGCAGATGCCCTAATTTTTCTTTCCTTTGTGAGGGCACTAACTAAACTAAAATGATAAGAGGTTCACTTCCAGAATGTATTATTGAGGATATTATTTATATGTGTGTGTTTGTGTATTTATATAGCATAGAAAGGATATATGTTTAACTGGAGAAAGGAAAAATCTGTACCTCTGCTATTTAGAAGTCAGTTCACATTTGCATTATCAAATTTAATCACTGTTGGTTGGATATAACTTCTTATTTTGAGTTGGCTTTCAGAAAATGTGTTTATATTGCCACAGATAAAACAAACATGTGTCAATTTCTTGGGCAAGCAGGATTCCAGTATCAGAATACATTCTTACATTAATCATTTCTAAGTTATTTAAAATTGGGACCTTCATTAATAAATATGTATTTATCCTATACATTAAAAGGCTAATATGTAAATTGTCCCTTCGACTAGGAGTTCAACCATGAGTTCAACCAGGGGGTGGGGTTGGCTGGCCAACTGCCCGAGGCCTCTCCCCCAGGCCAGCCCAGCCCGATCAGCCCCGATCAGGGCGGGCCAGCCAGGCCCCACCTGTGCACGAATTCGTGCACTGGGCTTCTGCTTAATATATAATTGCTATGCTTTGTTAAGGCACTGGATTTTGCCATTATATATTTACACATTACATAGGATAGACATTAAATATATATCATACAAAACAAAGGCAAAAGAAGGAGACTCACTTAAAACTAGAATCTGATTTCAAATAGTCCGTTAAAAACAAAATTTCCAAGATAGTTTATAATTTCATTGTTTGAAGCAGTTTCTCATTGGGCCAATGTTATAAAACTGTAGTTCATTTCCCAGGTAAGTCCACAGAAGTCTAACCCATAATTTAAGTGAATTTTAGTACCATGCTTAAGAGATATATAAAATATTCGCCAATTTAGAAGTTTGTATTGGTTTGGTTTTCTTTTCCTATAGCTGTGGGACCAGGGGACCCTATTCCCTAGGGGCTAGAAACTAAAAAAAGGAACCATTAAGTCTTTGAGCACAGGGTAATAGTTTGGGTATTAGGTAAGATGGTCAGGCTCAACAGCAACAGAGAAAGGGGCAAAAGAAAAAAATAGCAGCACCAGATAAGAAAAAAATCGAGTCAGCAAGGAAGTGAGTGACTCATTGAGTAGGCATCTATAAGTAAGGGTGTTTTTGCTACCATCCCACCCAAACATTAAAGAAACAACTTTATTTTAAGTGAAACTTTGGAAAAGTAATAAAAATCACAAATAAGTAAAAAAGTAACAAAATATCTCTCTGGTCATTATAACGGGATATTTTCTGTGATTGAAAAATATAGTGCAAAAGTGCAAACTGTATTATGTTGGGCAAATCAATGTTTAGTTCTTAATTCCAAATGAAGTTATTATATAAGATTTAGACCAAAAAAATATTGAAGAAAATTTTTCATTTACTTACTTACAACCCCAATGTAGTCTGGCCTGTCTGGGTGCAAAGCCTGACTAAACAGGTTGTAGAAAAAATTCTCAGATGAAGTGCATCATATTATTAGTTAAAGATCTTCTGGCTAGACTTCAAGCTTTATAGGTGTACTAGAGGCCCGGTACACAGATTCCTGCACCAGTGGGGTCCCGCAGCCTGGCCTGAGCCCTTCTCACAATCCGCAATCTGGGATCCCTCAGGGGGTGTCAGACTGCCGGTTTCAGCCTGATAACCTGGTCTGTGGGAATCGAGCAGAAACCGCTGTCCAATATCCCCCAAGGAATGTAGTAGTGTGTGAAGCAGCAGGTGGCCAGGGAGCAGTCTGAGCCCAGGCTGGGCGCCACTCCCGCTCATCTCAGCCCCGTTGCGCCCGTCAGTCAGCTGTGGGAGTGGACTGACCGACCACCAGGGGGCGGCTCCTGCGTTGAGCATCTACCTGCCCCCTGGTGGTCAGTGCGCATCAAAGCGACTGGTGGAAGGGTCAACCAGTCACTTAGGGTTTTATATATATAGATTTCATGTGACCAGATATATTTTCCTTGAAATGTTAGAATGCTTTAGTGTTATTCTATTATTGCTTCCCTGTTTCATAGAACTGCACTAATTTCTCCCATTTTTAGTAGCATAAAGAGAGAGAGATGTTGAATAGATAGGGCAGGAAAGAAATGAAAACATGTATTCCATAATATTATCAAACAAATATTATAACATTCTAAATACTATTCCAGAAAAAGAACAGAGGCCATGTTTAAAGAATCAAGACTGATCACTCAACCTCTGTGGGTTCTAAGGACCATAAATTAACCTTAATCCACAAATCTAACCAGTTGCCAGACTACATTTTGGCACAGGTTTTTAGCTGTGTCAATACATATGCAGTAGGTGACTTTCCCTCTGACATAAGCAATATTTAACTGGATCATTTTAAAATAAAAAAAAACAACCAACAACTTGTATTTGAAAATAACAGTCACAAACTTATATGATATAATTATTGCATTATAACATACTTACATAATATACTTTTATATTATATAGTAATATACATTTGATGGATATATAGTTTATTATTCTATTCTTTATCTTGTTCTTCAAATATGCCTGGAAAAGAATTTTAGACAAATTTGTAAGTGGAAAAATTTAAATGTTCCATTACTTGACAGTATTGGAAAATGTGTGTTTGGTTATTATGGAAAAGCAAATTAAAAGTTCTATGAATAACTACCTAAGTTTTTAAGTCACTCGGTTTCCTAGCTATTTCAATGGAATCGACAGTCATAGATCCAACCCCAACTCCAAGACTGGACCGTCGTAATGATAGTTCCAAGGCAGAAATCTGACGTAACTCTTTGCGACACAACTTTACAGGCATGACACCATGAAGCGGTCCCACATTTCCCATTGGCTGAATTTGGGGTGATGGTTGACTGTGAGATTTTCTAAAGTGATTTTCATCTATTTCTGTTTTATCCTCGTCGCTTAACAAATGTCCACTAGTGGGTGCTAGAGAGCTATAAATGGGAGGTAATTCAGGGCCATTTTCCCAGAGCTTCTGAGAATTTGGTTGTGTCCTTAAACTGCTTGCTGAACTGTCTAATTCTCTTTCCCTTCCACTTAATTTCATACTTTCAGTTCTGGATGCCCATTTTAATTCTTCTGAAACCATGCTTGCTTCTTCTGGGTTCAGGACTCCATCTCCAGCATCATGACCTAAAAATAATCCAAAAAGCAAAGAAAGTTAGAGAGTTCCTCAAAAGCAGGTATTTTAGTCATGACATCCTAACATTATTACATTAGTGTTTTTCTTTTTTATTGAGTTTATTGGGCTGACATTGGTTAATAAAATTATATAGGTTTTCAAGTGTACTAATTACATTATCACTGATAAATTGTTTTTCAGCTTTTTTTGTTAAATAATTTCTTAGACAAATGTAAGTGTGAATATGAACTATTCTGATTTTACTTCGAGGCATCTTGCATGTGAATAACTGAGAACTTTTGCTCTGGAACAAAGTTGAGAAATAGTCTGCTAGTGATTTTGGTACTCCCTGGAAACACAGAAGTGTTTGGGCCTCTCTGCTTCCCTTCCAACCTGCCCTCCACTGGGATTGCCACTGGTGATCACATTCCAAATCCTAGCTAAGTGAAGCCAGCACTGGAGAATACTGTCTCTGCCCCATATCTCCAGCGACACTTCTGGGACTTGGCATTATATGTGTGAAAATCTAGTCTTGATAGGAGGTTTCTACTCTCTGAATATACTCTGGGGTTCTATTATCAAAATGGAGATGGGAGCAAAGCCCCTCAGTGAGGGACACTCTGCTGGAACAAAGCCTAAGGTTCTCAAATTATAGAATCAAAGACAAAAACTTGCTTAAGGGAAGCCCATATAGGTGCTGGACCTCATATAATGAAAAATGCCAACTTTAACATATGTTGACACACGATTAGGACACTTCTAGTCCTATGAACATCAAGTTTAAAAACAGGAGTTGCACAATGGCAACTCCCAAGCCAAATCTGACCCTCAGGTTTTACTTAGCCTATAAAATAATACCTGACCCAAAATTTGAAAATTGGAAAGTTTCGTATAAAAATATAGACTTCCAACATTTCTAGAGAAAGAAAGAGAACTGACAATTTCTGAACAGCAACTTGAGCAGAGTTGCCCCTGCCCACTTAAACAACAGCTGCAGTCCCCTCTGCTCACTTTGGCTTCCCTGGCTCCTGCAGGCATGTTAGTTTGTGATTCCTGGTTTAAAACATAATTTGTTTTCTAGTATTTAAAATTCTCTCAAAAAACACCTGAATGAGCAAATGATATAGATCCTCACACAGAACTAGCAGATCCTCACACAGCTGACCACAGACAGGGCTCCCAAGGTTTGCTTCACATTAGAGTCAATAGGAAGTTTTAAAAATCCTAATGCCCAGGTCACAGTGGCACATGCGGAAGAACACAGATGGGCTCACTGGAAAAGCCCATCTTGGATTCTTCACAATAGAAAGTTTCCCTCTTCCAGAATTTTCCATTAGGGAACGAATTAGAGAAAGATTAATTCACCCAAGGTCACACAGCTAGTAAAATAAGAAGTTAGGAGTCTAACCCAGATCTTTTTTTTCCCTTGTTTTATTAAACCCAGATCTTCTGATTCTAGTATCCTCACAGTTTTATAGTGATTTAAAGTGATATTAGGATAGAGACTGAAATATGTAAACAAGAACATAGACTGCAAGTCTATATAAACTGATTCTATTCTTATAAAATATGTTAGAAAACAGATGCACTATACTAGTGATGGCGAACCTTTTGAGCTTGGCTTGTCAGCATTTTGAAAAACCCTAACTTAACTCTGGTGCCATGTCACATATAGAAATTTTTTGATAGTTGAAACCATAGTAAAACAAAGACTTATATTTTTGATATTTATTTTATATATTTAAATGCAATTTAACAAAGAGAAATCAAGCAAAAAAATGAGTTCGCGTGTCACCTTTGACACACGTGTCATAGGTTCGCCATCACTGCACTATAGAGACATAACCAAAAAGTGGCCACAATATTCTGGTCAAAAGATTAATTTTTATGCATTTGAAAATGCTAAAAATACTCAAAGAAGATAAATACAAGCCCAATAGGCAGACAATGAAAAGAGTACTATAAAAACTAATGAACCGAATACCAATTAATATGTATTAACTAGAGGCCCGATGCACGAAATTCGTGCAAGAGTAGGCCTTTCTTCCTCCTGCTGCCGGCACCGGCTTCCCTCTGGCATCTGGGACCCGGGCTTCCCTCGTAGCCCTGGCTTCATCTGGAAGGTTCTCCGGAAGGATGTCTGGAAGGACATCCGGTCTAATTAGCATATTATGCTTTTATTGTTATCGATTAGGATACTAACTATATAGTATTTTTTAGAAATCTCAGAATTTAATATGTTTAAGTTGCTATATTTTATTTTTTTAAAGTGATGTTTTTTGCTTTTTTATTTTTAAATATATTTCTTTATTGATTTCAGAGAGGAAGGAAGAGGAAGAGAGAGACAGAAACATCAATAATAAGAGAAAATCGTTGATTGGCTGCCTCCTGCACGCCCCCTACTGGGGATCGAGCCCGCAACCCGGGCATGTGCCCTTGGCCGGAATTGAACCTGGGACCCTTCAGTCCACAGGCCGACACTCTATCCACTGAGCCAAACCAGCAAGGGCAAGTTGCTATATTTTATAATTCAAACCAATTTTGTTTAATGTTATTATTATTAGAGTAACATTTTGAGATAAGATATAATACAAGCTATATCCCCAATATGATTCCAACTTTATTTTTTTTTTTAAAGCATGAGGAAAGTACTGACAAGAATTATACTAAATGTTAACAGTTTTGAATAGGATTATGGGTGTGTTTTTATGCCATATTTTTCAAATTTTTCTATAATTACTATATATCACTTTTATAGACACAAAAGTTTTTAAGATGGGTCAAAATAGAATAGTAAATTAGCTGAAATCATATATATATTTTTTTTAATCCTCACCCGAGGATATTTTTCCCATTGATCTTTATAGAGAGAGAGTGGAAGGGAGTTATTTTAGGTTAGGGAATACAAAAGCCTATGGCACATGGCAAGCAATATGTGTAGTTTCCTTCACACATATACATTTATTCATTCATTAATTTTCCCTGTGGTTCTTTCTATCTTATACATAGACTAGAGAACTACTTTCACTTACAGAGTCAAATAGAAGTTAAATATCTAATCCTAAATAACCAAATCAATTGGGAAAAGCTGAACTACAAAGTAGATGGACTTGCCGAAACTGGTTTGGCTCAGTGAATAGAGCGTCGGCCTGCGGACTGAAAGGTCCCAGGTTCGATTCCGATCAAGGGCATGTACCTGGGTTGCGGGCACATCCCCAGTAGGAGATGTGCAGGAGGCGGCTGATCCGATGTTTCTCTCTCATCGATGTTTCTAACTCTCTATCTCTCTCCCTTCCTCTCTGTAAAAAAAAAAAAAAAAAAAAAAAAAGAGGCACAATGCCTGTCATCAAATTAGATGGACTTTACCAAATGCTAGAACAACATTGTTAGCATGACAAGTAGCATTAAATGCTTACATTCAGATGGTCTCCAAACTGCTTCCCCTAACAATTCCTTAAGTTTCTTCTTAAGATCTCTGCTGGTTTTCTTATAGAAATAAAGATCTTTTTCCACCTGTTGGATTTTATCTTCATATGTTTTTAAAGTTTCCATAATGCCTTCCCCATCTTGCTCTATAAAATAGAAATTTACATTTAAAATCAGCTTAAAATAAATGATTGAAAATTATGTATTTTCATATTTAAAGGGTCAGATTATGTTACAATGTATCTGTTACCTGAATGGATATGTTTCCACCTACAATTTGGATTCTTCTGCCTCTAAAATTTTTCAAAGTAGGAATGATACCTTAGTCACCTTACCACATTTTTATGATTCATAAGCACTTTCTGAATAGGTACTAACTAGGATTTATCCTTAGAACAACAGAAGGTTTTTTTCTATACAAAGTTCACATTTGGAACTCTGTCCATCAGCTACATCAATATCTTCAAGTTTATATCAGGAACAGTGGGCATATGAAAAGTCATAGGCCTTTGACTATAAGCCCAGAGAATATACGACAAAAAAAAAAAAACAACAAAAAACCACACAACAACAAAAAAAACCCCTCAAAACAAACAAACAAACCAAAAACAAAGTCAAAAGAAGCTAGAAAGATTAAATTACAAAGGAAGACACAACAAAAAAGAGGAAATAGCATAATAACAGGGTGAGGCAAAAGTAGGTTTATAGTTTTGAGTAGGTGACACAGAGTTTATTCTTATACTAGAGGCCCAGTGCATGAAATTGGTGCACTCGGGGGAGGGAGGGTATTACCTCAGCCTGGCCTGTGCCCTCTCGCAGTCCAGGAGCTCTCAGGGGATGTCTGACTAACGGCTTAGGCCCGTGGGGAGTGGGCCTAAGCCGGCAGTTGGACATCCTTAGTGCTGCAGCGGAGGCGGGAGAGGCTCCCGCCACCGCCACTGCACTCGCCAGCCATGAGCCCAGCTTCTGGTGCACTGACCACCAGGGAGCAGCTCCTGCATTGAGTGTATGATGCTCCCTGGTGGTCAGTGCACATCATAGTGACCAGTTGGTCTGCCATTTGGTCTATTTGCATATTAGCCCTTTATTATTATATAGGAAGGACTAGAGGCCCGGTGCACGAATTCATGCATGGGTGGGGTCCCTAGGCCCGGCCGGCAGTCAGTCCTGATCGGGGCCAGGCCGATCGGTGCGGGCAGATCAGGGCTGGCTGGCTGCGGGGAGGGATCGGCTAGGGGGAGGGACTGCGGGAGGTTGGCCAGCTGCAGAAGGTTGGCTCTGGGAGTGCACTGACCACCAGGGGACAGCTCCTGAGCATCAGCCCCTAGTGTTCAGTGCGCACCACAGCGACTGGTTGACTGGTCGTTCTGGTCATTCAGTCATAATGGTTGCTTAGGCTTTTATATATATAGATATAGATTATTATTTATTTATTAATAATGTTATTTTCCATACTGTAAACCTACTTTTGCCCCACCCTGTACATTAAAATTTATATTAAAATACCACTTTTAGAGTCTTAAGGTAAGCAGAGCACATTTGAATGATTATGATGTGAAGGATCCTATCATCAGGCAACTGGATGTCAATTAACTGGTTATAGAATTAACTTAGAGGCAAATTGCCTAAGCACTCAAATTCACATATTTTCCAATTTTCTGCTTCCTTGGTTTGCTTCTTCCAGATCCCTTTAAATGCATTTCCAACTATAGATGCATAAGAATCAAGAATAAGCAGCTAAGCAGCCTGGACCGAAGCATTACCAGTATCCCCAGGCAGTGATTTTGTTGTCATAGCAACTGCTTGTGTACCAGCTATATGCCCAGGTAATGTGAGGACTGACTGCTATGACAGCTCTTTCCACACCAGAGTTGATGGTTGAACTATTGTGCACTGGTAACAGTATGTGTCCATCAATGGCAGACTAATTTTGACCTAAGATATAACCTTAATGCATAAAAGTTATAATCAGCTGAAAATTATAACAAGAAATATAACTAGAAATCTGACAGAGGCTATCATTTTAATTTTATGAAGGGAAAGTAATTTAAAAATCAACTACTATATCCTTAGGAGATAAAAACTTTTCAACTGTACACCACAAAGCCAGAAGTCATTCCACAACTCTATGTAAAAACTAGACCAACAACAAAGTAACAGGATTGCAGCAGTTCTTGTGTGTGACAGTGGGGATAAGCACATGGGGTGGCATTTCAAGCATGAATAGCCCCACATCAAAGGCAGTTATCCCAACATGTGCTAACCAAAACATGGAGAGCAGAAAAACATGAAAAGTAGTAACTTTATAGATGCTGGACTTTTAAGTGATCAAATGCTGTTCTATCTTCCTTCCCAAATCCCCCGCCTACATATCACCTATACAGAACTGACAAGAGGGCAGGCAGGTACCTTGGAAATGATGTAACAGCAATTGCATTTTTTGCTCATGTTCCTTTTGTTGGAAGGTCAGTCTCCGATCACACTGCAATTTCAGATGTTCCAGTGCAGATTCCAATTCACGAACCATATTATCCCGTTCCAGGATCTTAATTTTAATTTCTTTATTCTGTAACTGTAGTTTTCGCTCAGTTTCTCGCAAATTAACCACCTAGAAAATACATTTTTTTGACCTTTTCAGTCTGTCTTAGGTACAACAGATTAATCTACTTCTGTTAGGTAATGTAAGATGAACTTCCTTAATCACCGTGGTATAACTAGGCAAATGCTTTGTAACAGACCCACAAAATAACCTAACAGCCTTTTGAACTTGTTGGGATCCTGAATTGGTAGTAACTTTATTTCAGTATAATGTTGCTCTACTAACTGCTCCTCCAACATTTCTTAGAGATTTATAATCCTACTAGAGGCCCGATGCACGAAATTTGTGCAAGAGGCTCAGCCCCCGCCCTCACCACGGCCCTTGTCAGCTGCCTCTGCCTCCACCCGCCACAGCTTTCCAGTCTAATTAGCATATTATGCTTTTATTATTATAGTTTACATTTATAATCCTATAATTCTATTTCTCTAGTCTAAGCAGATATTAAGAAGCTAAAGACTCTGATAATAGCCAGATAATTCCCCATGTTAAGTCCATAATGGATGTTATAAATAAGTGACAAAATTTTTAAAACTCTAAATACCGAGTTTGGTTTTAGATTGTCCATTTAGTCCATTGGGTTCTTCTCTGCATTGTTATGAAGCAAAAATGTCTGTGTCACAGAGCTTGTTAATAGTATAATGACCTTTTAAGAAAAATACTTTTCCCAATGGTTCTCAGGATCAGAAAATCCACTGACCTTAGCCTGGACGCTTTGGGTTAAGAACACTTACTCTAAGATTACCACAAAAGAGTTATCTATATCAAAACCTTTGGAGTACCCCACCATTTTTCTGCCCATCACACACCCAGCAATAGAATGCACTCTCACCAATAACAGCAGCTTACTACTGACAATAATTATCCAAGAGGAGGGCTGTGCACAACAATTCTATTCATTTCTCATCCTTTTTAACTTGTGTAACAGAATTAGAACTTTATTTTAAACTTCAGTGTTTTATTGCTCATTAGTTGTCTGATACTCCCTTAAATTGCATATACTTTTCAGAGAAAAAAGTTATCTACTTGTTTAACACTTCATAATATATATTTTTAAAGAATACATTAGAAAAAAGATGGGTATAGTTCTCCATGGTACAAAGCATTTCTGGATCAGTAAATTGTCAAATACATATAAAATCCTATATAATAAAAGCCTAACATATGCTAAGTGTCTGGTCATCTGTTCAACCAAAGTGTAATTAATATGCTAATAATATGCTAAGGCCACTCAACCACTCGCTATGATATGCACTGACCACCAGGGGGCAGACAGTTGACCAGTCGCTATGATGTGCACTGACCACCAGGGGGCAGATGCTCTGACTAGTAAGTTAACTTGCTGCTGGGGTCCAGCCAATCAGGACTGAGTGAGACGGGCCAGACACACCCTGGAGCCCTCCTGTGGTCCCTCCCAGGCTGGGACCTCCTGTGTCCCTCCCCAGCTCTGATCATGCAATGGTGGGGTCCCTCGGCCTGGCTTACACCCTCTCGCTATTCAGGACCCATTGGAGGATGTCAGAAAGCCAGTTTCAGTCTGATCCCACAGGCCAGCCTGAAGGACCCCACTGGTGCATGAATTTGTGCACCGGGCCTCTAGTATAAAATATTTTTATTCATATTAAGCATATTCAGGTTAGTGCTAAAATCTCTATTACTGTCTTTGCCAGTGATGTACCACTTCAGCTCCATATCAATTCAGAGGTTATGATGAAAAAAGTAAGTGTACCCCTCTCCTACAGCAATGAAAGAAAGGTAACCCAAACTTGGAGGCCCTTGATTTTTCCTGAGTGCTGATTAGCAACATCCAAATCTAGAAAACATCAAGAAGCAGTGACTGAGGAATGTAAATTCTTTGATTTTAAAAACTACTTCAAAGAGCTCTTATTTCAGAAGGCCCTTCAAATTTAAGAACCACACCAAGTTAGGCGTACATACTTGGATAATCACAAAGCTTTCAGATGACAGCATGCAGTACTGTAAAGAGAAATCATGCTTAAATCTGGAGTTACGCCATTTTTATATGTCTCTTAATTACTTAAAAATTCTAAATATGTAAGATGTGTAAGCATCTTGACCCCTTTTTAGAAGAAAATCCTCAATCTCTCAAAAACTAACCTTATTGAAATATCTGAAAAGGATAGCTCTAATCTCAGTAGGATTCAGGGCAATTAGTTTTTCCAAGACGTTTGCTTCACTATGATAGAGGTTTTGAAATGAAATTCTGAGCGAGTTCTGGCGACTTTGGATACTTTCATTCTTGTACTCAATTGCAGCTTCCAAAGCTTCAATCCCTTCTTCAAGTTGGAAAAGAGCATGTTCTTCCTACATATAACACAACAGAAATTATTTTTTTATTTTTTAAAAATATATTTTTATTGATTTCAGAGAGGAAGGGAGAGGGAGAGAGAGAGAGAAACATCAGTGATGAGAGAGAATCATGGATCGGCTGCCTCCTGCACTCCCCCTACTGGGGATCGAGCCCACAACCCTGACATGGGCCCTTGACTGGAATCGAACCTGGGACCCCTCAGTCTGCAGGCCAATTCTCTATCTACTGAGCCAAACCAGTTAGGGCAGAAATCATTAATTTTAAATGAAATAGTATAACTTGGACTTTGTCACATACCAAGATCTTACTATGCTATGTTAAGTCCTCACTTAATGTTGTCGATAGGTTCTTGGAAACTGCGACTTTAAGCAAAACAATGTATAACAAAACCAATTTTACCATATGCTAATTGATATAAACAAGAGTGAAGTCCATGTGGCATATATCTGGCCACAAAAACATCACCAAACCCTTAAATAAAGACCCAAAACACTTCTAATATTAAACATTGAAATAAATGTGAGCTATACATACATTTAAGGAAGATTAATAAAAACAAGCAAGATAATGATTTTCCAACCCACTAATTCAGTTGAGGGTTATGGGTGGCCCAAGCTTGTGTCTACACTCAGGGTGCAAGGTGGGAACCCTCCCTAGACAGGACACTCTTCTATTGCAGGGCACACTCACACCCACATTCACTCAGACTGGGACAATTTAGACACATGCATTCATCTAATGTGCACAGCTTTTGGGATGTAGGGGGAAACCGGAGCCCAAAGAGAAAACCTTCACAGACTCAATTCCAAATAGATAGTGACCCCGGCCTGGAATTGATGCCTCCCCCCTCCCATCAACATTATAATGAAATGACTTCGAATGAAATGACATTACTCAAGGACCTGCTGTATTTGAGTCTAATGGGCATTACCTTTCTTCTAAACTTTAAGGAAAGAATGTTTATTGAGTGCGTGCTATGCTACACAGTGCTTATGTTGGTATACACATATATAACATATAATCATTGAATCCCTACAATAAATCTATTAGTGAAATGGAAGAGGCAGAAGCTTAGGTGAGTTATGGAACATCCGAAGGTCATACAGCAAATGCTGAACACCAAGCCTCAGCCCACAGGATTAGCTATTTTGTAATACATCTCCCTCCCTAGCTCCTAAAGTATATATTATGTGTCCGGGAGATGTGGAGACCCATTGATATTTCTTCAAACATCTATTAAAACAATATATTGCTAGGAGGGAAAAAATAAATAAGATTCAGAATAAATTAAGAACTTGTAACCAGAGTTGTCTCTCTAAGGGAAAAACAATATGGCATTAAAAAAAGTAGTGAGGATTTAAGGACATGAAACATTTCATGAGAGACATCATTGGAGGGAAAATATGGCAGCATAACATTTTTTTCATATGCCAGAGATTTCCTTTTTAGGAAAGAAATATGATGAATACCTATCAGAAAATCTAGTGGTTCTCTGAACTATCCAAATAACATGTTATGTGGGGGAAGGGATCCAAATCTTGGTAAGAAATTATTTCAGACTTGCCAAGACCTTGATATACACTGAGTGGCCAGATTAATATGACCACCCCATCAGTACCTTCATTGGGCTACCTTTTGCCTTCAATACTGCGGCACTCGTCATAATAATCTGGCCACTCAGTATATATATATGTATATTTGTACATGTGGTGGAGCAGGGGTCCTCAAACTAAGGCCCGCGGGCCACATGCGGCCCGCTGAAAACATTTATCCGGCCCACAGGATGTTTTTGCCCCCGCTGCCTGTTGCTTAGCAGCCGACTAGTTTTTTTTTAAACTATAGTCCAGCCCTCCAACGGTCTGAGGATCAGTGAACTGGCCACCTGTTTAAAAAGTTTGAGGACCTCTGTCAGGTGGAGGTTACCTCTACTCTAAGTTCCTGAATGCAGAGTATCTTGTCTATATTCATGCCCTGGTTGCCTAGCACAGTGTATGTCACACAGTTTAAACTCACTGTCTATTGAATGAGTTGATGAAGGAAGAAGATAAAAAAATTTTTTTTTCATTAAGTCTTGGTTAAGACTCTCCCCAGCATTTCCAGGAAAATAATGTCAGTACTTCTAATCTACCTAAAAAACAGAGTGATTTCCAGAGCTCCTTTTCTGAAATTCAGGGAAATAGTATGTAACAACCTATTCCAGTGAAAGGTCAAATAATATTTTTAAAAGCTAGTTTATCAAATATCCTGAAAGAGCCATTTTGAACAAAGTGTTCTACAGCCATTTTATTTCTCTGTGCAATCACTAACCACCAAGAACTTGATGATTTGACAATCACTCCATAAGAAAGAAAAAATAGCCGAAACCGGTTTGGCTCAGTGGATAGAGCGTCGGCCTGCGGACTGAGGGGTCCTGGATTCGGTTCCGGTCAAGGGCATGTGCCTCGGTTGCGGGCATATCCCCAGTGGGAGATGTGCAGGAGGCAGCTGATCGATGTTTCTAACTATCTCTCTCCCTTCCTCTCTGTAAAAAATCAATAAAATATATTAAAAAAAAAAAAAGAAAGAAAAAATAAACTTAAATCCTGAAAAGTACTAGGTTGAATGAATCAGGAACCAGAAAATAAAAGTAAGTTATCCAAAGAACATATTTGACTCATGAATGCATAGTGTGATTATAATTTTACCAAAAACAATTGTGGAAATCGTTGGCCTTTATATATGGCTGGGAACAATTAGGTGCAAATTTAATTCCTACAGTTTTGGATCCAAGTTAAGGAAGCACCAAGATACTGTACGACAGTACAGCAACTAAAGAACCCTGACACCAGCCTGCTCCAATGGGCAGCGTCTAAATATTTGTGGGTCCCACTAACTCAGCAATAGGTATAGATTGACAAGATGAGTGGCAATGGGAAACTGTCCCAGGATGAAAATTTCCCACAACTGATACCATCGATTACCAAGAACTGACTATCCTTTATCATAAGAGCACTTTTTAAAATGACTGGGTACCAAGGAGCAGGTCTGGTTGGGGCCTAAGGCTCTGCATTTCTAACAGGCTTTCTGGTGACCCTGCTGCTGCTGGTCCAGAGGTCAGTGATCTGAGAGTAACAGAAATCTAAAGCAATGGTCTCCATACCTTTTGGATCACCCATACCAATCAATACAAAAAGAAAACAAAACTAAAAGTTTTGAGCAAGCACATTAGAACATATATATAAATTCTAATCCTAAAACATAAAATTGGAAGCTTACTTCAATTACTAGGCAACTACTCTGCATTATTTAAAAAAAATAGTTAATTTTTTAAAATCTTAGTTTCTGAATTTTACCAAAGGAAGTGATTTGCTTATATGAAAGTGTATAGTGATCTAAAACCTATCAATTTCCCAAATTAGAAAAATATTTTGATTTATTGTGGAAAGAGAAAATTATTCCAAGCAGGTTTAAAGACATCAAAACAGCAAACCATTCCACCTAGATTTTATTGTCTTTTGTCACATCAGCATTTCATGTTCCCCACCATCTGCTATTGGCAGGTCTTTTTGTTAATATTAATCTCGGATTGAAAACCGTGGGGAGAGCAGAGCCCATTTCAGAGCCAACTAAAAAGAACCATGTGGTCACTGGGCCAGGAGCTTGCTTAGCTCTGCTGCAAGGAACGTGAATAGAACCTGTGGTCATTCCCAATTAACCTCTTCCGGGCAAACCCAGCCTGAGATACTGCCTGTGGCTGTGCTTGTGGCTGCGTCATGGGGTCTTGTGACACTGAGGAAAGGTTTGACTGGAGAAAGTATCTCTGCTCCAGCTCGGCTTTGAAGCAGAGCTTGGAATGTTCCAATGTGTCTATTACAATCAGCTTATAACTTTTTTAAAAATAGGTAATCAGTAGTGTTATGTAGTTATTTTTTTAATGTTTTTATTGATTTCAGAGAGAGGCAGGGAGAGGGATGGGGAGAGAGAGAATCAAACATCAATGATGAGAGAGAATCATTTATCAGCTAGCTGCCTCCTTCACACCCCCTACTGGGGATCGAGCCCACAACCCAGGCATGTGCCCTGACCAGGAATTGAACCAGGACCTCCTGGTTCATGGGTCACCACTCAACTACTGAGCCACTCCAGCTGGGCTCAGCTTATTTATTTATTTATTTATTTAAATATAGGTTTTTTTTAATCCTCATCCAAAGATATTTTTCCATTGATTTTTAGAGAGAGGGAAAGACAGAAATATCAGTGTGAGAGACACACATCCATTGGTTGCCTCCTGCAGGAGCCTGCAACTGAGGTACGTGCCCTTGACGGGAATCAAACCCTGGAACCTTTGGTCTGCAGGCCGACGCTCTATCCACTGAGCAAACCAGCTAGGGCTGGGCTCAGCTTATAACTTTTAATGGGAACACAAGAGCTGTATATAGCAGCAGCATCCTCCTTTCCTGAGCTGCCAAGTTGAGCCTTTATAGGTAAGAAATGTATAAATGTATGTATATGTAGGAAGGAGGAGGGGAAAAGAACCGTGTGGAAGAAGGGTGTAGAGAAGCTCATACAATTAAATGGAACCCCACTCAATGCTGAAGGCTCATCACTCCCTCACACCAACCCAGAGTGGCTGCTACATTGGTAGCATGCACACTCCTCTATTTTCACCACAAAACTTTATATGTATTTAGTTATAGAATTCCACGTGAAGAAGAAACTTTCTTGATGGCAATAATGGACCATTTTACCTTACTGCAAACATAATTTGCTCATTCCCATCTCTATGCCTTATGTAACAGTGTTCTGTCTATAAAATGGCCTTTTCTATATTGACCAGTGTAGTATATAATGTTTTTCATAATCCAGCTCGTTTCCAATCCACCAAGACTGTCCTAATAATCTTCCCTCACATGATCACTGCATTGCTTTGTATAAATAATGTAGTAAGTATGGCTTATGTTCTTCAGGGTTTAGGGTTTTCTTATCCTTCTCTTTTCTTCAGATAGAGTATGAATCTCTCAAGAGAAGCATAATGCTTTTTTTGTCTCTTCCATTGGGCCCAGTAACAGTCTTGGGCAGGCAAGAATTCCTTAAATACTTATTTTTTTTTCTGTATTTTAGGCTCTCATACCTTCAAATTTACAAACTTGGGCTCCAATTTAAACAGTTGTGAGGACAGCCAGAATCTGTGATCCTCTGCACAGCTACCTACGTTGAGTGATAAAACAGCATAGCCCTCAGTCAACTTAGTTTTCAACACTTTTCATCAACTCAATGAGCAATAATCTAGTATCATGAAATCCTTTCTCCTCTTTCTTCTTAACCAGCTCCCTTTAACTTCCTCTCATACTTTCTCTAATATAAAACACTACAAGATTCAGCAAGGTGCATGTTTCCCAGCACTCACTTTCTCTTGGCAATTTTCTCTTGCTTTGGTAATGACAAGACATCACCAATAAATATTCACAGAGAAAACTCTGGCTCAAAAATTCATCATCGTCTGATCAAGTAAGGTACAGGTACCATTGCCAACTGAGGTAAAATTGTGAAAAAAGACAAAGTCTGGGGCAATTTGAAAGCCAATGAATGAAATATCTTTTCATATTTAAAAAAGTAAATAAAGGTGAGAGAAGCTATATGGTCCCTTAAATGAAAACTCTAACTAAAGGGTATTTTTATTAGGATTTGAATTTTATGCATCTATCTGGAAGGGACATGCTCCTGAACATTGGGCCTTTCTCAACCAAGGTAATAGAAAGAATTAATCCTTAATGCCTGGGCATCCATTGAATGTAATGAATTGCCTAGTATCATTCAAGAAAGATGCAGAAGAGAAGCAAGGTGCCTTCTTTGGAAGAAATGAGAAAAAAAGAGTCCCTTCAACTCATTGTCTGTTTTGTGAGTTCAGATAAGAAACCCAGCTGAGAAGGGTCAGACTCAAGAAAAGTTAGTCTCCCAACCCCTGGCAATCCAGGAAGAAGCCACCCATGTTCATGGATCTCTACATAAGGACATAGCAGTTTCTAGTCAAGCGTGGCTTGTGGTGCCAGGTAAACTCATTTCATCTGACAAAGTCTCAAGGAAACAAAGTTCACCAGATTTATCATTTTTTTATGTTTAAGTGACAGAGGGAGGAAATCATCCAAGTGGTCCATCATACAGCACTTCGAGTCTCAAAGAATACTGACTTACTTCAGGCGATAACACGCTACCATTTTTAAGTTTCTCTTCCACACTGTTTCTTCGTCTCTGTAGCTGATCTTTTTCTTTCTGGAGGGCTTGAACTTGTTCTGAAATCTTTATTTTCTCTTCAGCTGTGCTACTCTGGAGCTGCACATTCTTTTTGGACAACTCTTGGTCCAACAAGTTCAGGCGAGTTGATATTTTCAAACTATCTGTGCTTAAGGCCTAAAAAGATACAATCAACAACAACCAAAAAAAGTTAGAAATCCAGATTGCATATAATTAGGAAAAACACAGAGAAAATTACTAAATGAATATTTTTTTAGGTTCTACATTATTTTCTCCCATGGATTTTTTTGGGGGGGAGAGGGGGAGATATAGGAGGACTTCATTTTCTAAAATCTTAAGTTTAATATCTTTTTTTTTTTTTAATTAAAAATCAAACAATGGCCGAAACCGGTTTGGCTCAGTGGATAGAGCGTCGGCCTGCGGACTGAAAGGTCCCAGGTTCGATTCCGGTCAAGGGCATGTACCTGGGTTGCGGGCACATCCCCAATAGGAGATGTGCAGGAGGCAGCTGATCGATGTTTCTCTCTCATCGATGTTTCTAACTCTCTATCTCTCTCCCTTCCTCTCTGTAAAAAATCAATAAAATATATTAAAAAAAAAAATCAAACAATGAATATACTATCAAATACTGCTTGGCCACACCAGACCACACAGCATAGGTTTTAAGAGGCACTATTTTTCTTTTATTTTCTATATTGAACTTTTCTTCTTTGGCCTGGTTACATAGTAGAATTAATTACATTAAAATTTCCTAGAGTTTGAGATTTGGTTGGTTTATTATTTAAACATATAATTTGTTTCTATTCATTTCATTCTGGTTAAAAAATATGGCCAGATTTATGGAGCTCTTAATTATGGACTAAGTTAATTTTTAAAATATTTTTTCATCAAAGTAATTATATGTTTACTAGAGGCCCTGTGTACAAAATTCATGCACGGGTAGGGTTCCTTGACCTGGCCAGCAATCAGGGCCAATCAGGTTCCCCGCCTCCCTGCCTCCTCCTCCCCTTGCTCCCTCAGCACCCCGCTGCCACCACTAGTCACCCGCCATGTTCCACGCCACCCCTTGTGGTCAGCGCACTTCACAGTGAGCTCCCAGTCTCCTGGTCGAACTCCCGAGGGGACACTTTGCATATTAGCCTTTTATATATAGATACAACCATAAGGTATATAATTTTTTAAAAAGCCACCCTCTCACCTGAGTCCCATTCCCCAGAAACAATCATCTTCAATGCTTTAGCTATTTCTTCTGGTGTTTATGTCCATGTTTCTAAAGCATATTATCAATTTTAGATATTGTCTACTGACTGTCCATTACAGAAGTAAGGATTTAGCACTTTCATGCCTTCTATTTCCTTATATTTTTAAATTTTTTCTTGTTGATTTTTTAGAGAAACATCGACTTGTTGTTCCACTTATTTATGCATTCATTGATTGATTTTTTTACAGCTTTTTATTGACTTTATTAATTTTTAAATATATATTTTTATTGATCTCTGAGAGGAAGGGAGAGGGAGAGATAGAAATATCAATGATGAGAGAGAATCATTGATCGGCTGCCTCCTGCACATCCCCTACTGGGGATCAAGCCCACAACCGAGCATGTGCCCTTGACCAGAATCAGACCCGGGACCTTTAAGTCCACAGGCCAAACCAGCTAGGGCCATTGGTTGATTCTTCTATGTGCCCTGACTGGGGATCAAATCTGCAACCTTGGCAATGCTCTTTAACAACTGAGCTACCCAGCCAAGTTTCTTATAAGTATTCCTTAAATAGTGAAAAAAGATACTGCATAATCTTTTTATGCCTTTTATTCAGAAAAGAACCAGTAATGTGACAATCTCAAGTTTTCCTTCTGTTTTAACATAATCTTCAAAGAATCAATTATGCTTTGATTGACTGTGGGCTTCATTTATTTGTACTCTTTGTTTATGTCAGTATGTGTTTGCTAAATATTACATCTTGTTGAAATTATAAAATATCTGCTCTTTTTCCCCCTGTATCATACACTTATTTCCATAAAAAGATTTTTTTCCTTATTCCTTTTTTATTTTTTCTCTTTTGTGATACAGAACATATCATAGAGTTCCCAGGTTATTTTCTCCTATTTACTCATTTGATGTTTTAATTTGGTAATCCCCTTGCTCTTGTTATGTTTTGAGGGACAGTTTTTAAAACTTCACACTGACAGCCAGTGTGAGCATGCTACCTGGATATAGCACCAGCAACTAGGATGGCTGGAGGGGATGCCCCTCCCCCTGTACCCATCAGCCTGGTGCTGATAGCTATTTCAACATGTTTAGGGAACAGAGGACAGAGCATCCCTGTCTGCCTGTTATAATGAGGTGGAGAGGTTAAGAACATGCCACTGTCAACTCAGAGTTTGGCTGAAGGGCAAATCTAATAAAGAGGCAGGTCATTGATCCTCTCTGTTCATTAAGTCAATATATAGATTGACCTCGGACTCCAGGCCTGCTGGAGACAAAGTTTTGGGTGAGAAAGTCCTTTTCAAGTCTGGGGCAAGCCAGCTTCATTTTTAGATTCTGTTTTTGCTGTTGCTAATGTTGAAGATATACAAAGATATATTTAAAATGTATTTTATGGTCCTCTACTCCCTTCACAATCATTTTTTCAAAACTTGAAATTGAGGCAAATTCCTTCATAAAACTACTTTGACTGGCTCATAAAATCCAAGTCCTCTAGAAAAAACTTTTGTAAAGGTCCCCAAGTCTTTATAATTTGGAAAGTAAATAAGTCTTGCCGAAACCGGTTTGGCTCAGTGGATAGAGCGTCGGCCTGGGGACTGAAGGGTCCCAGGTTCGATTCCGGTCAAGGGCATGTACCTTGGTTGCGGGCACATCCCCAGTTGGAGATGTGCAGGAGGCAGCTGATCGATGTTTCTCTCTCATCGATGTTTCTAACTCTCTATCTCTCTCCCTTCTTCTCTGTAAAAAATCAATAAAGTATATTAAAAAAAAAAAAAATAAGTCTTCATTACATAAAATCTTCTTTTATAGAAACCCTAAAACCTCTAACTTTACATAGTAGTGATAGCTAGATCATTTTCAAGTCTATTTTTCCAGATTACTAATGTTCAGTATACAGCATCAAATAGTACAATTTATTTAGAAAATATCCACTAAAGTTAATAAGAGGGATCACCAGGGAAATGGAGAGTTATTGCTTAATGGTTACAGAGTTTCTGTTTGGGGTTATAAAAAGTTTTAGAAACAGACAGTAGTGATGGTTATACAACATTGTAAATGTAATTAGTGCCACTGAATTGTAAATTTAAAAAAGGTCAACATGATAAATTTTATGTTATGTATATTTTACAATTTTAAAAATACAAATAAATAGTAAAAAATAGATCATATTTGACAGAACACTGAACTTTTTACTTAAAAAATGAATAGATTTTAGTGAGGGCCATTAGATAAACCATAATAAGCAAAATACACTGAAAATCAGAATAGTTTTCTTCTGATTTCTGTCTTCACAATGGTTTACTTCTTAGAGAAAAAAGCCTACTTTATATGACTTTCAACCAGAATGAAACAGCCTATTAAATAGAATACCTGACTAGATCTAAACTTCTTATTTTCCAGGTGGCTCTTCTCCTGTAACAGGGCCTCCTTCTTAGAAACGATGGCCTCCCGCTTCTTTAGGTCTTCTTCCAGCTCCTCTAATTCTTGGCGTTGGTTCAAAACTTTCTCTACTTCTTCATCTAACCATTTCTTTTGCTCATCTAATTTCTACATTAAAATTACAAAGAAATGTTATTTTTTTCCTTCTGCCATAAAATGTATAAGGTAATATAACTTCAGATTAGCTGAAAGACCATAAATGAACATGTGGAAATAATAAAATAGTGTTCATTTCTAAAACTGTCTAGAAATGAGTGGTTCCACTTAACATCTTGCTGTGTTGTTTAATAAGGAATTAAAACTTACTCTCCAAATATATTTGAGTCTGAGAATTTTTAGGCTGACCAAGAAAGGGGTGACAATTTCTTTACATATAGTAAGAGTTCGTTCTGAGAACAAGCTAGGAATCTTTTTCTCTGTTAAAGAGGTGCATACCTCCATCACAGCACTTACACTCCTGATTTCCCAACTTGAGATTCTTGATTGAATACGGGACTATACTTTTCACCTTTGTATCCCCAAAACTTGACCCATGACTGGCCTTCAATAAAATGTTAAATGAATAACTGAATGCCTGATTCAATCAACTAATTGATGAAGTGAATAAATGAATACACACAGTGGAAGACATTGATGATGGAGCATAGAAATCCACTCTGCACTGTATCCTGTCAACATCAAATAATTATTCAGTAAAATACAGTCAGAAAGATTTCCAAAGCAAGCATCTTAATACTCTCTTGAATTAAGGATACCCAGAAGTAAGAACAAACAAAAATATGAAGGGAATATGACTGTTCAAGATGAACTCTACTAAGCACTCATTTGTACTATGTGTTCATAGTAATGAAGCAATGCCAACTAAACAACAATAGATATAAAATCAATATAGTACTATTTTCCAGTTCTTTTCAAGCTTGATAAAAAGTGGTTCCTAGAAATCTACATTAAGACAATGAGATAGAAAATATGCATGAGAAAAAAAGAGCAAAGTGGCCACAGCCAAGTTGGTCCAGAGCTATGAGTCAGTCTTCCATCCACACCTAAAGAGTATGGTCCTATAGCACTATCACATCAAACCACAATGAAGCCTAAAATAGCGCGACAATTTTAAGAAACAGAAAGGCTATCCAGAGCAATACAGAAATACTTTATTTTTGTTATATCCAGCTATACCATAGAAAGTCCATATATGAGACCCTATGAAGTCTAGCAATTAAACATATTCTATAAACATTCCTTGACTATGAGTTGGGTTTGAAAGATGAACAATAGAGCTTTTTAAAGCTCCATTCCAACAGGAGAGAAACCAAAAAATTATTGGTGATAATAAATGCTAACTCCTAGGTACCATTTAAGCAAAAATGGAGAGGGATTGGCTTTGTCTGGAAATGGAAGAAATGCAATGCCAGTCCTACAGAGTAGGTAATATTTTAGCTATGCTTTGAAGAATAGGTAGGAGTCTGCTAACATAAGTTTTTTAGGGAAATAATAATAGATTTTTCTGCATTTGGTATAATAAGGGTTATGATTTGTGTAATTCACTGTAACTTTGTTTTCTGAAAACGTCTTGATTTGTTTTTTCTCTTTATAGCAAAAGTTCCTACCATACAGTTTTAATTTTAAATACTTTCTTCTTATATAGGGACTTTATATGAAGTCATTGTCCTATAATAAGCTCTCTGGATACTCATATTGATTAACTTATAATCTTGTCCTTGTTTAGAGTCAAATTCTGGAAAATGTTTGTTTTACAACATTAAAAAACATGAAGTTTTGTGTGTATTTTTCTTAACCCAAAACAGTCAGTGCAAGCATAGTAATCTTTTTATTATTGTGCTTGCTTAAAATTTAGATCCTTAACATTTTGAAAAAGCAGATCTCACTATTCTGCATATTCCTACCTTTCCTCCTCCCCTCACACCGTTTCCACCCAGAAATGCTCTTTAACCAATTTCTAAAACATACTAGTAAAATAAATAACTGGGAATACAGTAAGTCCTCACTTAACATCATTGGTAGATTCTGCAATTTTCAGCAAAACTATATATAATGGAACCAATTTTACTATAGGCTAATTTATATAAACAAACGTTAACTTCCCAAGGCATCTTACCAACATTACAATCAACAATGTTGAATAATATGATGTTATTCCAGGACCTCCTGTATAGTCATGAAATTTTACTATTAAAGTGTAAAATTCAGGAACAGAGAACAAATAAATTTTTCAGAATCAAGATGATGTATATGCATTTGAGTGTAATTACAATTGTTTTTTGTTTTGAGAGTCAGATTTTATTTTTTCTTTATTGATTAAGGTATTACATATGTGTCCTTACCCCCCCCTTCATTGCCCCTCTACAAGTATAGTAGTTTTCTGTAAGATTTTTAGAACTGCCATTTTGAATTTCCATAAAATTAAAATTTTGTTTCTTTGAACTTTCATAGTAGTTTATGAATTTCATTTTTTAAGTGTGGCATTAGTCCTGGTGATTTTGCTCAGTGGATAAAGCATTCCTGGCCCCCAGTTGAGGTGGATGCAGGAGGCAACCAATCAATGTGTATCTCTCACATAGGTGTTTCTCTCTCTCTTTCCCCCTCCTTTTCACTCTCTCTAAAAATCAATGGAAAAAATATCCTCGGGTGAGAAAAAAATAAGGCACTAAAACAAACAATAGCTTCTTAGTATATTGTATGTGGTGCATATAAAATGAATGAGGAGCTCTGATTTTTAGAAATACATATTTCCATGGGAATAAGTCAGTTTTGACATGGGAATAAATACATTCTGGTGAACATGGATTTCATGTTTACATTCCACATGAAATAAATTCATATCTGGATAAGAAAATAATTTTACCCTTAAGTTGAAAAATCTAGTGTTTGAAGATTTTACTCAGAGTTCACCATTTTTTACCTCCATTTAGACAATCATCAAATAGAAGAAAAACCAAAAAACACTAAATAGAATTGACAAACCTGGAGCTGGTCTATACTTCCAAACAAACCTTTTCTTCTTTCCATCTTAAATGCATCTAGGTCCTCAGTTTTCAGTTTCAGACCTTCTTCCAGTTCTGTTTTTAACTTTAGTTCCTACAGAAAACAGAAATCAGAAATACCTTATGGCTTTCATAGTGGCCAATGATTACTATGAAAATAATCATTTGCTTTCTTAGTTGCAAAAAGAAAGTGAGTAGATGAGGTCGGGGCCATTTGAAAAGAAAATAACATTAGCCCCTCACTGAAGCAATAAAATCTTACAGCAAAAAAATCAGGCTTTACTAACAAAACTAAGGGGTGTGTGTGTGTGTGTGTTTCATTCTTTCCCAGTGTTACAAATTCGTGTAACAAGGATGAGTCTGAAAATTATAAATGTGCTTTTCTCTTGTGCCTTTCTGAACTCATTACCCTCAGTTAGTCCATCCAAGGCACCCATCTGTCATGGGGATATTAGGATTTATGACAATAGAAATGTAAAAAGTAACAGTCTATTTCTGGCATTCAAAAATCAGATTTTGCAGCCTGAGAATAGCCTTGCAAAACAGATCATGGTCCTTATGAAGGGTATTTTCCAAATTCCTTTAGTTTCCATCCACATCTTAAGGGTCACATCAGAGAGGCCCGTTGCTCACAGTGCTCTCCAGGTTTAGAGAAGATGCCTCTGTCACCACTACAGCTTAGCAGGAATCAGGAAGGAGGTCATGAATCAAAGAGCTAGTCCACATACTAACTCCATGGTCCATGATAGAGAAGTACAGACATGGAGTGTGTTTAGAAATTTATAGCAATTTGACAGAATAATTTTATATCTGTTGACTCTAATAATTAAAGGATGGACTTTTATATTTTAATCTTTATTAAAATAGTTCATGTTTTTAAAAAGTATTGGGCTGGCCCTAGCCGGTTTGGCTCAGTGCATAGAGCATCGGTCTGTGGACTGAAGGGTCCGGGATTTGATTCTGGTCAAGGGTACATACCAAGGTTGCAGGCCCTGGCCCTGGTCAGGGAGTATGCTGGAGGCAACTAATTGATGTGTTTATCTCACATCAATATTTCTGTCTTTCCCTCTCTCTTCCACTCTCTCTAAAAATCAATGGAAAAATACCCTTATGTGAGGATTAAAAATATAGATATATTGGGCTGTGATATATTAATAATAAAATAAAAATTGTGCCTTTTCCACAGGTAATTTCAGAAGTACTGATATAAAGGAAGTAAAAAGGAAGTCTACCATTTTCCAGCCCTGGGAACAGCAGAAAGGAGAAAAGAGACAGTAAGAAAGATGTGTCCTGCCCTAGGTGGTTTGGCTCAGTGGTTAGAGTGTCGGCCCACAGACTGATGGGTCTCAGGTTCGATTCCAGTCAAAGGCACATACCTCAGTTGCAGCCTTGATCCCTAGCCCTGGTCTGGGTGTGTGTGGGAGGCAACCAATCAATGTATCTCCCTCACATCAATGTTTCTCTCTTTCTATCTCTCCCCCTCCCTTCCACCCTCCCTAAAACCAATGGGGAAAAAAATACCCTCGAGTGAGGATTAACAACAACAAAAAGATGTGTGTCCCAATTTTCCTCTCTTAAGTTTTGGCTCAGAAAGGGGGTGGTAAGTAAAGGTATCACTGAGGGTGGACGGAGAGAGAATGTAGAGTGCAGAGGCTCCACTCCCACATGGGATTGCCCAGCCTTGCTGAAACAGCAAGGTACAGTCAGGAAAGAGACTAATTGAACCCCTCAGCCTCAGGTGACAGGGACCCTGAGTTGGGAGCCAATGGGGGTCGGTTATCATGGAGAATTGACCTGCAAAATGAAGATGAGTATAGACCACAAGGTTATCAGCAGGCTAGGTGGAAGACCTAGTAGGCTCAATAGGGATTTATAATGCCACTAGGAAATGAGATGAAGTCAAAGCACCTCAATGCTCTAAGCTGAAAGCAAGATCAGACTATGAGTCATACCAGCCATGGGTTTCATCATCAGGGGCCAGCAGGGAAAGGTTGACAAGAGCAGATCGCAGTCAGTTACATCCACGGACCAAATGAAACTCAGGGGCCCACTTCCTCCATAGGATGCAATAAAAAGCTACATACCCAACCAGCACATACATTGGATTCTATCTTAGGGAGAGAAGCACAGGGTGGAAAAGGCTAAGAATCTAAATATTCGTATTCAAGAGAGTTGAGAAATATTTAAAGGAAATGTTTAAATTCAAAGAAAAGATTTAAACAGACTGGACATTTGGTTAATTCTCATGTTTCCAGCAATTATCATGACATGGACTGGGCAGGGGCAGGGGGTGTCATAAAGAACACAAGTCTGCTATAAACTAAGTAAATGTTCTCTGCATTATGAATGAATTATACTTACTACCCATCAATTTTTCATGCTTCCCTAGATCTCGTTCATAGTTATAGTCTGACTCCTGTCATAGTCACAGTAACTTCAGGATCCTTAAGTAAAGGCACCTTATACTTGGAGCTAACTACTATTTCTGTCCTTCCACATACACTTTAAAAGAATACTGTAGTAGGTCCAATTCCTTCTGCATGTCGCAATAGACATGACTGCCTTTATTTTATATTGTAATCCCTGTTACAATATTAAAATAACTGTCTGCCAGGCACTGTGCTAGCCGTTTTTTTTATATATATATTTTATTGATTTTTTACAGAGAGGAAGGGAGAGAGATAGAGAGTTAGAAACATCGATGAGAGAGAAACATCGATCAGCTGCCTCCTGCACATCTCCTACTGGGGATATGCCCGCAACCCAGGTACATGCCCTTGACCAGAATCGAACCTGGGACCTTTCTGTCCGCAGGCTGACACTCTATCCACTGAGCCAAACCGGTTTCGGCAGCCTTTTTATATCTATTTAAGGACACTCCTTAATCCTCAGAATAATCCTATTGCCAAGGATTGTTATAAACTACATTTTATAGATGAGGAAAATGGTGCTTAAAGGAGTAAAAAGCCCAAGATCACACTATGGGCCCACAATTCCAGGAGTTCCCATATCTTTTCTTTATAGCTCATCCATGGACTTCAGTTAAGAATTGCTGCAGAAGTCATAGTATTCTCTGGAAGTGGCTTAGTTGAGTGGAAAATGGACAAAGAGGAGTGTTAGCTCCAAACAGAAGGCAAGATGGGCTTTAGGACTGTGAGCAGGTTTTCTGTTTGTGCATGAAGTAGTACAAACTTCAATATTTCCTTGGGGCACACTGTTCCTTTTTCTGGAATACTTATTCTCCCCCTTAAGTGGGTCATTTCCCTAAAATGCAAAATATGGCTAAAGGAACAAAATTGTCCTACATAACAACATAAAAAGCTTAAGTTACAGATAGAATTATACTTCAGCATTCTATGCACTCTGACCAAACGTTTTTTCTTTTACCTAAGCATAGATTTTGAGAGTTTTGTGTCTTGTTGGTTTAGCCATGGCCTATGAGGGATTAAGAAGCTGAGACGGAAAGACCGTAAGACTGACAAGCAGGCCTGATCCTTACATTGGAGGAAGGACTGTAACAAAGAGACTAGGTTATTGGCAGTAGAAATGAGAACTGAACAGATTCAAGATATTTAAAAGATATAATCTATAGGATTTAGTGATTCATTGGATATGGGTGACAAAGGAGAGGACAGAGTGAAGGATGACTATCAAATTTCTAGCTTACCCAACTAAATAGATTGAGATATCATGTAAAGCACATTAGAGAAAACTATTTTCTCCTCCATGAAGCAGGGAGTGGGGACAGTAAGAAGATTATTAAGGCCTGGCTGGTTTGGCTCATTGGATAGAGCGTCAGCCTGCGGACTGAAGGGTCTCAGGTTCGATTCCGGTCAAGGGCATGTACCTGGGTTGCGGGTACACCCCCAGTAGGGGATGTGCAGAGGCAGCTGATCAATGCTTCTCTCTCATCGATGTTTCTTTTTTTTTTCTTTTTTTAAAATATATTTCTTTATTGATTTCAGAGAGGAAGGGAGAAGGAGAGAGAGAGCAGTTAACTGGTTAAGACACAGACTTTAGAGACAAAGAGCACTAGTAAACTGAGAGCTTTGAAATGGATGGTAGAGCTGGGAACCAAAAGCCAGACTAGAGAGGATAAGAGAATGAATGGAAGCAGAGAAAACAGAAACAGATACAGTAAACTTTTCCAACAAGTTTGGTTATAAAGAAAAAGAGGGTAGTATAAGACAGAAGGATAATTTTAGGATGAATAAAATCTAAGGTATTTAAAGAAGGATTCTAGAAGAAAAGGAAAAGTTGGAAATATAGAAGAATTAAATATGTTAAAGCACATAAGTGCTCAGCATAGATTAACTGAGGATACTCAATAAATGTTAACTACTGCCATAATAGTAATTACCATTATGATTAAGAATGAGTAACTTGGGAGAACCAAGATGGCGGCATAGGTTAACGCCGGAGTTTGCTGCCTTGAACAACTACTTCAAAAGTGAAACTAAAAAACGGAACGGACATCACCCAGAACCACAGGAACGCTGGCTGAGTGGAAGTCCTACAACTAGGAGGAAAGAGAAACACATACGGACACTCAGAGGAGGCGCAGTGCTGAAGTCAAATTCTGAGGTGCGGAGTGCGCGGAGCAGGCTGGCGGCGTAGGGCGCGGTTGGCGTTTTCAATCGGGAGGGAGTCGCAGACTCTGAGCTCCAGATACAGGCGAGTCTTTAGGGACCCAGACTCAAACGGGAGAAGCGGGACTGTCTGGCTTTGGTCAGAGCGAGTGCAGCTTTCTCTCCGAGGTTTGCAGCGGGTGCTGGGACTCAGAGAGGCAGAGCCCCTGGGGACAGGACTGAGAGCCGCCATAACTGCTCTCTCCGGCCCACCCTGTTGATCCTGTGCGACCCACCCTGCCCAAGCCCTGCACAGAGGCATTTGCCGGATAGCCTCAGGCAAAGGCTAGATTAGCACCTCCCTAGAGGACAGAAGTTCTCTCACTGCAGGCATAGCTGATTCTCATAGCCACCTGGCCTGGAGGTCAAACCCTCCCTGGTATTAGCTACAACAATCAAGGTTTAACTATAAGACTGCGAACAAAGACCACTAGGGGGTGCACCAAGGAAGCATAACAAAATGCGGAGACAAAGAAACAGGACAAAATTGTCAATGGAAGATATAGAGTTCAGAACCACACTTTTAAGGTCTCTCAAGAACTGTTTAGAAGCCGCCGATAAACTTAATGAGATCTACAAGAAAACTAATGAGACCCTCGATGTTATATTGGGGAACCAACTAGAAATTAAGCATACACGGACTGAAATAACGAATATTATACAGACTCCCGACAGCAGACCAGAGGAGCGCAAGAATCAAGCCAATGATTTGAAATGCGAGGAAGCAAAAAACACCCAACCGGAAAAGCAAAATGAAAAAAGAATCCAAAAATGCGAGGATAGTGTAAGGAGCCTCTGGAACAGCTTCAAACGTACCAACATCAGAATTATAGGGGTGCCAGAAGATGAGAGAGAGCAAGATATTGAAAACCTATTTGAAGAAATAATGACAGAAAACTTCCCCCACCTGGTGAAAGAAATGGACTTACAGGTCCAAGAAGCGCGGAGAACCCCAAACAAAAGGAATCCAAAGAGGACCACACCAAGACACATCATAATTAAAATGCCAAGAGCAAAATATAAAGAGAGAATCTTAAAAACAGCAAGAGAAAGAAACTCAGTTACCTACAAGGGAATACCCATACGACTGTCAGCTGATTTCTCAACAGAAACTTTGCAGGCCAGAAGGGAGTGGCAGGAAATATTCAAAGTGATGAATACCAAGAACCTACAACCAAGATTACTTTATCCAGCAAAGCTATCATTCAGAATTGAAGGTCAGATAAAGAGCTTCACAGATAAGAAAAAGCTAAAGGAGTTCATCACCACCAAACCAGGATTATATGAAATCCTGAAAGGTATCCTTTAAGAAGAGGAAGAGGAAGAAAAAGGTAAAGATACAAATTATGAACAACAAATATGCATCTATCAACAAGTGAATCTAAGAATCAAGTGAATAAATAATCTGATGAACAGAATGAACTGGTGATTATAATAGAATCAGGGACATAGAAAGGGAATGGACTGACTATTCTTGGGGGGAAAGGGGTGTGGGAGATGCGGGAAGAGACTGGACAAAAATCGTGCACCGATGGATGAGGACAGTGGATGGGGAGTGAGGGCAGAGGGTGGGGCGGGAACTGGGAGGAGGGGAGTTATGGGGGGAAAAAAGAGGAACAAATGTAATAATCTGAACAATAAAGATTTAATTAAAAAAAAAAAAAAAGAGGACTTAGAACCGACTAGAGCAGTGATGACGAACCTATGACACCTCTGACACAGGAACTCATTTTTTTTTGGTTGATTTTTCTTTGTTAAATGGCATTTAAATATATAAAATAAATATAAAAAATATAAAAAAAAAAGAATGAGTAACTCAAAGAAATTAAGAAAATTCCATTTATAATATCATCTAAAAGAATAAATATCTGGGAATAAATTTAACCAGGGAAGTAAAAAACTACTACACTGAAAATTATAAAACCTTGCTGAAATAAATTAAAGACCTAAATAAATGCTCATGGATAGGAAGACATTATATTGTCATATCAATACTACACTAAAAGATCTACAGATTCAAAGCAATCCATATCAAAATTCCAATGGCTTTTTTGCAGAAATGGAAAAGTTGATCCTTAAATTCATACTGAATTGCAAGAGGCCTCAAATAGCAAAAACAATGTTGAAAAGAAAGAATAAAGAAAAGAACTTACTACCCACTTTCAAAATACTGCAAAGCCACAGTAATCTGGCATAAGGACAGATATATATATATATATACAAACAGAATAGAATTGAGAGTTTAGAAATAAATCCATAAATTTATAGCCAATTGATTTTTGACCAGGGTATAAAGTCCATTCAATGGGGCAAGAACAGTCTCTTCAACTGATGGTTCTAAGACAATTGGATTTCCACATGCAAAAGAGTAAAGTTGGACCTCTGTTTCACACCATATACAAAAATTAACTAAATATAAATCAACGACCTATTAAATATAAGAGCTAAAGCCATAGAATTATTTAAAAAACCCACAGGGGTAAGTCTTCACGATCTTAGATTTGGCAATGGATTGTTAGATATGACACCGAAAGTACAAGTTACAAAAGAAAAAATAAATTGGATTTCATAAAAATTAAAAATTAAAAACGTTGCTGCATTAGTGAGTATTACCAAGAAAGTTTAAAGACAACTTATAGAATGGGATAAAATATTGGAAGTCATATATCTGATAGAGTTTAATGTCTAGACTATATAAAGAACTCCTACAACTCAACAACAAAAGATAATCCAATTAAAAAGTAGACAAAGTCTCCTTCCATCACCATTTATTTCCCCTTTACCCTTTCCTACCTCCCTTTACCCCCTTCCCTTCTTGTAATCACCATGCTGTTGTCTGTGTCTGAGGAGTTGTTGTTTTGTTTTTTGTTTTGGGGTTTTTTTTTTGCTTAATCCCTTCACCCTTTTCACCCTAATTTTATTAACCAATGTCACCCCAATAAATTCAATTAAAAATTAAAATAAAAACCGGTTGGAATAGGAACCAAAAAAAAGTAGACAAAGAACCTGAATAGACATTTCTCCAAAGAAGATATATAAATGGCCAATAAGCACATGAAAAAATGCTAAACATCATTAGTCATTTGGGAAGTGCAAATAAAAACCACAATGAAATATCACTTCACACATACTTGGATGTCTACAACAAACACACACACACAGAAAACAACAAGTGTTAGCGAAGATGTGGAGAAATTAGAACCTTTGTACATTCTGGCAAGAATGTAAACTAATGCTGCCTCTATTGAAAACAGTTAGTGCTTCCTCAAAAAATGTAAATATGGAATTAACATATGACACTGCAATTCTACTCTTAGGTATTTCACTTCCAAAGAAATTGAAAGCAGGGACTTAATTACTTATATGCCAGTATTTATCGCAGCATTATTCACAATAGCCAAAGGTGAAAACAACCCAACGTCTAACAACAAATGAATGGAAAAATAAAATGTGGTATATGCATACAATGGAATATTACTCAGCCTTAAAAAGGAATGAGGTTCTGATATATGCTACAATGTGGATAAACCTTGAAAATATGCTAAAAGTTTTGGAAATAGATGGTGATGGTTGCACAACATTGTGAATATAATTAATGCCACTGAACTGTACAATTAAACATGTTTAAAATGATATATCTTTTACCACAACTTATAAAATCAATTGTAATATACCAAGTCCTTTTAAACTGTCTACTTTAAATGGGTGAATTGTATGGTATGTGAAGTATATCTCAATTAAAAAAAAGTCAGTAGCTTGGCTTAAATGCTTTTTAAGTTCACTTCCATCACTAAATTCTATCATTTTTTTAAGGTCTGAGAATGGATTATATTCCAAAATTAAATATCTAGGAAATCTCCAATTATGTTATAAGCTTTGGGTTTGGCTTAACATTTCAAGAGAACAGACTACTATACTATGTAGTGCTAGATAAGTGTTTGTTATTGCTATTATGATAGTGATCATCCTCCTCTTTCTTCAAAAGAGTCCTGTGAGGCAAGTATGATTAAGGCTATTATCGATATGAGTAAACAGACTCAGAGAGGGTAAATGATTTTCTCAATAAATGATCCAGCTAGGAACTGAGAGAGCTGGGATTTAAACCTATGCTAGCCTGGCTCCAGAGCCCAGGCTGACACTACACCACTAGTTCCTCCCCATCCCAATCCACTCTATAGAACTGCTGGACGTAGTACAGGTTTGATCACTCTTCTGCTCACTATGAGTGGAACGGTACCATTTTATCTTGTACTTTTTTCCATGCCACCACATGGACAATGCATTTCAAAGCACTTTGAAAATGGGAAAGCCTATTCAAATGTCAGATGTTATTTAGAAAGTTGGCTTTTTATGTTTTTGACAGTCGCAACTACAGTTAAGAAACTGCATCACTAAACATTCTTTTGTGAAGTCAAAGCCTTCAAGACAGTACTCAGAATTCAATAAATAGGCTTTACTATGTAGATGAACAAAGCTTTAAAGAGAATGAGGACAGCAGCCAAGGAGAGGCCAAGATGAGATACCTCACAAGTAAAATCAAGACCTTGGCTTCCTCAGCTCTGAGCCATTTCATATTTAGCAGGAAAGTATGACAATATTACTTTGATTTTTTGTTGATCCCGCTGAATTTCTGTATCCAGTTGCTTCCTTTTTTCATTTTCTTCTCGAAGTCTCTTTTGCAGCTGTATCTTTTGATATTTCATGTGATCTATACTCTGCTCTAATTCATTAGCACGTTTCTCATTTTGGATTGAAAGTGATGCCAACTTCTTACTATTTTGTTGCTTCTTCTGTAAGACCTAGGATCATATGGAATATTTCAAAATGAAAAATTGCATCTCTCATGAACTTCAAATAAACTTAAAACTTTTCATTCAATGGCAAGGATAGGCATTTTGCTTAGATATATATATATATATATATATATATATATATATATATATATATATATATATTTTTTTTTTTATAAATTCACAATTGTTTTTTACATTTTTACTTTTACAACTTGGAAACCACCATAATTTTCACTAGCTATACGTAAAGGATGATGAGGCTTCCTGGTGCCCACACCCACACAAAACAAAATTAATCTCTTTGCTTTTTATTAATGAGTACTAGAGGCCTGATGCACAAAATTCGTGCACAGGGGACGGGGAGGGGAGGGGTCCTCAGCCCGGACTGCACCCTCTCCAATCTGGGATCCCTCTAGCAATCTGGAACCACTGGCTCCTAACTGCTCACCTGCGTGCCTGCCTGATGCCCCTAACTGCTCCCCTGCTGGCCTGATGGTCCTAATTGCTCTCCCCTGCCGGCCTGATCCCCCTAACTGCCTAACTGTTCTCCCCTGCAAGCCTGATCCCCCTAACTGCCTATCTGCGCTCCCCTCCTTGCCTGATCACCCTAACTGCCTATCTGTTCTCCCCTCCTGGCTTGATCCCCTTAACTGCCTATCTGCTCTCCCTTCCACTCCACATGCAGACGTGCTGAGAGCTCTCCTCCACGGCCCCGCCCCCATCTGATTGGTTGTTATGTGATGGTGTCCTGGACAATTTGCATATTCATCTATTATTAGTATAGGTTGTAATTTAAAAATATTACATGTACATGGAAAAATTAAAATAATACAAAACTGAACTTATATTTAATTTTGAGAGTAATTGCAAAACTGCAGCAAAATGATGCTACTAGCATTTTAATGTCTTTTCCACATCACTATAAGTACTGAAAATCTTACTTAAAAGTGAGATAGGGCCCAGCCGGTGTTGCTCAGTGGTTGAGCATCAACCTATGCACCAAGAGGTTATTGGTTCAATTCCCAGTCAAGGCACATGCCCAGGTTGTGGGCTTGATCCCCCGTAGGGGGCATGCAGGAGGCAACCAGTCGATGTTTCTCTCTCACAGTAATGTTTCTCTCACTCTCACTTCCTCTAAGACATTTTTTAAAAACATTTTTTTTAAAAATATATTTTATTGATTTTTTACAGAGAGGAAGGGAGAGAGATAGAGAGTTAGAAACATCGATGAGAGAGAAACATCGATCAGCTGCCTCCCGCACATCCCCCACTGGGGATATGCCCGCAACCCAGGCACATGCCCCTGACCGGAACCGAACCTGGGACCCCTCAGTCCACAGGCCGACGCTCTATCCACTGAGCCAAACCGGTTTCGGCTTTTTAAAAACATTTTTTAAGTGAGAAAGGATATCACTATCTTTTGCATTTATTCCACAGACACTTAAAAGTGTACCAGTTAGCATCAAAATATTAATGTAGCATATAGCTATATATATATTTAATAACAAAGAATATAAATTTCAGGGTTTTTAATTTAAAAATTTTGTTTTATGAATTGAAATAACTTCATTATACAAAAACAAAAAAAAGTGGCATTTCAATATTTAAAATGGAATGTTAGAATACTGAAAGATGGTATTGTCATAACTATGTGACCCTGAAATAGTTATTTCACCTTTCTAAATCTCAGATTGATCATTTATAAAAGAGGGTAAAAAATACCCACTTCAATGGATTTAATCATGATTAAGTAATGCATACAAAACACCCAGTATGTATATGGCACCTTGTAGACACTTAACAACTGGTAACTACCATGCTCCTCCTAACCCCCTCCACCATCCTCATCATCTTCCTCATCCCCTTCTCCAACAGTTGTGCATAGATATGTCAAAGGCACAGAAATTTTTAAAACTGCATGTCCTTCCAAAAATGACATTATTTCCATGGTTATCTTTATTTCTTACCTTATGGTTTTTTAGAAAAGATTAAAATAATGTACTTCTTGAACGCAGAAATATATTACCCAGATCAAAATTATGTAAACCTACCAGAGCTCTGGAAAAGTTGCATTCCAGTTTTTCTTGCTGGTAAAAACTGAGTCCAGACCTAACTGGTTTGGCTCAGTAGATAGAGCGTCGGCCTGTGGACTGAAGGGTCTCAGGTTTGATTCCGGTCAAGGGCATGTACCTTGGTTGCGGGCACATCCCCAGTAGGAGGTGTGCAGGAGGCAGCTGATTGATGCTTCTCTCTCATGGATGTTTCTGACTCTCTCTCTCTCTCTCCCTTTCTCTCTGTAAAAAATCAATAAAATATGTATTTTTTAAAAACTGAGTCCTATTTCTTTCCTAACTAGGTACAAGAATCCTTAAAAGCAGAAAGCTTTAAATAGGTTTTCTCAATTACATTTTAAAATTACCTGGATTTTCAGCTTTGCGGCATCCATCTTTTTACGGAACTCCCTCTGTAATTTCACTTTCAAAGCAACATCAGACAGATCTTTGTTTTCCAGTTCCTGTAGCTGCTTTTCTGTCTCAATTAATTCCACTTTTGCCTGTTCTGCTTCGTGGGCAAGTTTTGTTACTTTCAGAGAATACTGTTTGCTTACAGACTTGGCATCATTACCTTCACCAAAATAATAATAATAATTATATATATTTTTTAAAACTAAGTAAAACATCAAAAACATAAAAATGCTCTATTCTTTTTTTTTTTTAATCCTCACCCAAGGATATTTTTTCCATTGCTTTTTAGAGAGAGTGGAACGGAGAGGGAGGGACAGAAACACTGGTGTGAGACACACACATTGATTGGTAGCCTCCCACATAATCCCACCAGGGCCCAGGAAGCCTGCAACAGAGGTATGTGCCCTTGACCAGAATCTAACTTGGGACCCTTCAGTCCCAACACTCTATCCGCTGGCCAAACCAGGTGGGGCAAAAAAAGCTCTACTCTCAAAATGCCAGCTGTCAGGGCACATGCCCGACTTGCAGGCTCGACCCCCTGTGTGACGCATGCGGGAGGCAGCCAATCAATGATCCTCTCTCATCACTGATGTTTCTATCACTCAATGCTTTTCTTATGAATATTTAGAACACAGAGAAAAACAGAGTAAGATATTTCTATATCTCTTTTCATTCTAAGCTCAGCTACTAAACCGAAAAACTTGGTTTTGAATAGTCAACTGTCCCTAAACTAGATTAGCAAACTCATGGCAGTGGGAAATAAGAGCCCAGAGGTCATGGCATGAAAAATTGCCAGAGAGAGTTTCACACACTATTATACTGAAAATCTCTTAATATTTTCATAAAAAGGAGTTCTTGAACTAAATGCACTGGCTCTGCAACTCTGTGATAATTTGACTAACTTTAAAATACATACAACTACTATATTTTAATGAATCTAAGGCCGCATAGAGTGTTCAACACACCATATTTTATGAACTAAGAAAAAAGGCACAGTGCCAATGAACCAATGACATGATAATATGTTAAGATGCCAATGATTATAACATACATCCTGATTTTAGAGATATTAAAATGTGAAAAATGTGTATTAGAATTGATGAAATACAGTAGAGTCACTGTTATTGCTGTCTGAAGTAGTTGCTATTCAGGAGAAATCTTCATTGAGGCACCTTTGAAAAGTAAGCACACATTGACCCTCTTGCTAGTCACCATCTCTACGGGTCCTTTGGAAAGCTCCAAACGGTCTGTGGTTATAATGAGTAAGAAGAGGACCTTCTCTGTGTAAGTTCAGGTATCCTCTATATCAGTGGTTCTCAACCTTCCTGATGCCGCGACCCTTTAATACAGTTAGTTCCTCATGTTGTGGTGACCCCCAACCATAAAATTATTTTCGTTGCTACTTCATAACTGTAATTTTGCTACTGTTATGAATCGTAATGTAAATATTTGATATGCAGGATGTATTTTCATTGTTACAAATTGAACATAAAGCATAGTGATTAATCACAAAAACAATATGTAATTATATATGTGTTTTCCGATGGTCTTAGGCAACCCTTGTGAAAGGGATCGCAACCCACAGGTTGAGAACCGCTGTTCTATATGAAGGCATCCAGGATGGGATACCCCATGGTGGGATAACCAGAAGGGTAAATATCCTCAACTTCCACAGGCAGTACCCTGAAATCTTGGGGATGGAGAAGCTATTTAAACCCCTAAATCAGTTCTTGCATACTCCTAAGAGAGTTTACTGGCAGTGATCCTGCCTGTGAGGAAGGAAGATGGTCAAACTCAATTAGACATTGGGAGACTGGAGCTGGGGTGATGCACAGCACACAGGTTGCCAGGAATAAGGAAGTAAATGCTTTGGGACAGGAGCAGGGTGAGGCGTTTAGAAAGGAGGACCGTCAGCCAGAAATCAAGTTTGCAGGAAAGAGGGGAAAGTAGGAAAACAGGCAGAGGAGTTGGGACCCATCATAATTCATGTAGTTTGGGTGTAAGTATACCCTGGGGCTTGAAGAAAAGGAGGATAATATTCCCTTCAGTTCCCCTAAATGTGACCGGAGTTGTTTTTCACTGGAATTGGGGAAAAGAAACGCTAGTGTCTCTTATTCCTCTAATTCTCAACTGAATTTCAAAGTAGTCAAGGCTCATACTTTGAGTATATTTGGGGGAGGGGAGGATGCAAAAAGCCTAACGTCGGTGAGGGTAAGGAGAAGGTGTGGCACATACATCCAACCTGGCAGAAATTTGAGACTAAAAGTAAGAGGTAAAAGCTTGGCTCGCTCAAGAGCACAGCTTTCAAGAATAACTCCTTATATCTTTAGAGAAATAATAATTAACTACATTTAAAATATTAAGTTTATGATTACTGTTAAAAATTAAATATCAAAAAAATAATTTAAAATAAAGTTATTAAAACAAGTTAGAAAAACATCCCAAACATATTTCCAAATGCCTAGTATAATGTTTTTTTGAAAGTGGCCAAAAAGTTAAGTGCCACAGAGTTTCAACACAGCACAGAAAGCACACCGGTTAGAAAAATTCATAGATGAATCCCAATATAACAAAGTTCTTTTAATAACTAACCTCCACATACTGCTTTCAAACACAGCTTGTTATACCAAATGCCAAGGTACAGTGAAGTGTCCTGAGCATCAAAAACTAAAGTAAATGTTACACATCAGAAACAATTTTAGAAGCTTTTCTTTCTTGTATTAGCTGGTTCATAGGCTACTATTACCTGTTTTCATTAATTCTTTAATCAGATCTTCCTTCATATTGATGTTAATTGTAAGTTCTCTTATTTTTTGTTTAGCTTCAGTAAGTATGAGTTCTGAATGCCTTAATTTTTGCAAATTCAACTCTTGACTCTCCTGAAGACATTCAATCTTTAAATCTTTAAAATAAAAGAAACAAAATTGGAAAATAAAACTATCTGCTTATAAAATATTCAACAGAAATGGAACTAAAAAGAAAAGTGAACACGAAAGGTGTCTAGAGGTAGCAGAGGAAGGGACAGAAACAGGTAAGGAAAACAAGGAAAAAATATCCAGAAATTGGGACTTTAGTTTTCTAGCTTACAGTAAGTCTTTATATATGCTTTAGTCATATCCCATAGGTTCTGATACAGTTTTTCATTGCCCTTAGATATTCTGCAATTTGAGTTTTTACTTGAGTTATTTAAGAAAGGTATAAAATCTCCAGGTGGGTATAGCGTTGAATTTTTCCTATTATTTTAGTCTTCTAGTAATAAAAGAATCTAGTCCACACCAGATTATTAGAGTGTGGGCCAGAACTGTTTTGTTCTTACTTACACTGGAACAACTATGTCACCATTTAAGATAAGTTCAGCTTATCTTTCTTTTTTTTAAAATATATTTTATTGATTTTCCACAGAGAGGAAGGGAGAGGGACAGAGAGCCAGAAACATCGATGAGAGAGAAACATCGATCAGTTGCCTCCCACACACTCCCCACTAGGGATGTGCCCGCAACCAAGGTACATGCCCTTGACCGGAACTGAACCCGGGACCCTTGAGTCCGCAGGCCGACAACGCTCTATCCACTGAGCCAAACCGGCCAGGGCTCAGCTTATCTTTCTTTTCACAGGGAGATTTCCTCAGTGAAGGAGCTAGTGGCAATTTGACTAGTACTTATCTATATTACTTACACATTTTTTAACTTATTTAAATTTTATTTGTGACATATAGGTAAGTTTTTGTTAAATATTATATGCATAGCCTCTTTAAAAAGACTATTTTCATAGTATAGGGCTTATTTATCATGTTATTTATATTCTCTATACTCTTACTTTTTGTGCTTTAACCACTCACAGGCCAATATAATCTAGTTAAAATTTCCTACTATAGTTTTTGGAACATAAACATTTTACACTGTTATGCATCAAATAATGTGTGTTCGAATATTATGAGCACCCGCAGACTATTTGGCTCCAATGCCAAGGGTACATCACTAATGGTAGGCATGTGTGTCAATGAAGCAGGAAAGCAGACACCTAGTAAATTACGTAAGATACATTTTAAAGCAGTCAAGAGTACAGTGCATAGCAACTTGGGCTTGAATATAAAATCCCTATTCTGAGAGATTTAGCCTGTAACTCTAGCCAAAATTGATTGATGGGAAAAAAATTTTATTAAGGAGTAAAAATGAAGGAAAAAATTAGAAGTAGAGCACAGAACATACAAAGTTCTACCAATGAGAAAAACACTCCTACCAAGTTCCCATCATTAAAAATTCCTAGATGCTTCTTAAATTATTGACTAAAGAAAAAGAGAAGTGTCTTATAAACACTAGATATAAATTACTTAAAATCTGTGTACCTTCATTCCCCAAACTTGACTTTTGTGTTTGATCATGAATATCATTCAATTCAACAAGGGAACAAACAGAGTCTGGCTTCTGAATCCATGAGTGATTTCTATGTCTAAAAAAACAAAGATCAGGATCAAAGGTAACTTGTCTGTTAGTGTTTGCTGTCCCCCAAAAGTGACTAGAATGTTAAAAGAATTATTAATTATATAAAATAAACAGAATTTTACTAATATTCCCATCCATGTTGGGCCTAGTGGGAAATTCATTATATTTGTTGCCACTGTAGCAGCAGAATCAGGAAATTCAAAAACATTCTCCCTGAAAATTAATATCCAATAAATATATAAGCTCTAAAAGCAAAATTATTTTTCAATTTAAGACTGATGACTGTTCAAACACTGGTTTCATAATTCATTAGTTGACAGCACATTTATCAAAAACTACCTACTGTTATTTCAATAGAAAAGATACATTTTAATAAAAAAATCCCTCCATCTGTATATATTTATTGCATCATAAAATTATAATATGTTTATTAAACCAGTATATATTTAACATACCTAATTTCAGATTTCTCTTGGCCTTCTGATTCTTCATCATCACTGTTATCAGAAAATTGGCAGTGGAGGACTTCATCTTGTTCTTCTATGTGACCCAGCAGGATTTGACTTCGTGTTCGAAATCCAGCAACTACTCGATCCAGAGAGTACACAGAAGGACTTGTGTAGACCTTACAAGTAATTCCCCCACCCAACAACAAAAAATCGTTTTTTAAATGTCTATTTTTATCTTATTACTCAAAATGTCTTAAGAGGTTATTAAATAAGTACTCTTAAAATATCCAATTGCTGAAAATATGCATTGCCCCCCCAAAAATATCAACTTTCATTTCACAATACTATTGTCATGAACACATACTTCTTTCAGAATCTACATAGCTCTTCCTCTTCTAAAAAGTTCTATCTTTAACTACAGCTTCATGGAAAATAGTATTCTTTTTAATACTATTTGGACTCATTTTTATGAAAGCAAAGACTAAAAAATCACAGCATAGGTACTCCCCAATGAGTGCAAAGCCCATACATAGTGCAATAGGAGGCAACTGTTTTAAACCCCATCAACCTTCCCAGTTCTGAACACTTGGAGAATTATGGTGTTGCGGCTCAGGGTCTGTATCCTCCTCCAATCCAAATCCACCAAATGAAGAAATCCAGAGCCATCGCCACTCCACTTGTAAGTCAAAATGTTCTCAATTTGGAAATCCAAATGTATTTATTCACACTTTACATGTGGTGGTTAGGCATAGCTGAGTTAGTACTCTAAGTGACATATTTACAATGTCTCATAGAATAATTAAATGTTCATGAGCTAACCTGAGAACTTTCTGTATTATAACATGCTTCTATTGACAATGAACCTTAACTTCTCAAAAAATGAGCTTGGAAAATAACAACAATGAATTAGAAATTGTCTTTACACTTTTATTCTAGTTTCTGTTTACCAAACATTTATTTTCACCACCTCTTTGTAACCAAATCTCAGAGTAATTTCTCAAAAAAGGTTAATAATAAAACCATACAGGATACATGCAATTTACTAACATAAATTATTATAAGTATTATAACATGAGGCTGTCAGTCAAGATGGAAGCAATACTCACCTCCTCCCACAATCACATCAAAATTACAATTAAACTACAGAACAACTAAATTAAAGAAGCTACATCAAGACTGCTAGAAAGGGTGGAGATGCATAATGGGCTGGTCCCATATCCACATATGGTGGATAAAAATTGGGAGGGATATCTTGGCTGTAGAGGTTTCCCCTAAGAAGCAAGGGGTCCCAGTCCTCCCATCCTAGGGTTCCATTCCAGGAAGAGAAGTCCCCATAACTTCTAGCTATAAAAACCAGCAGGTATTGAGGCTAAGTGAGATGAAGGGCTACTGGAGTCCCAAGCAGTTCCTCTTAAATAGACCACACAAAGACTCACTCATACTTATTCCCTCTGAGCTCAAGCCCTAGGGCAGCAGTTTGAAAGACACCAGAGATGTTACAGACAGGAACTGAATTGCCCAGCATCAGGATAAGATCTGCAAGGCAGCTTTTCCCAGACAGAGGTGCTGCCAGAAGCCACTGCTCTTTTGATAAGCCCCTTCCCCTGCAGAGCCCACAGTTGGGTGACATATCTGAGACTCCATCAACCTGGCTCACACTGTTTGCCCCACCTTGGTGATTCTCTGAGGACATGTCCACCCAATTTTCAGACCCACCCAAGCTGTTCCCAGTGGCTTTTCCATACAAATGGTCTGTCTTGGCTCATGTTTCAGATTTTCCTAAAATCTCTCAAACAAGCAGCATCTGGCCTCAGTAAGCCCTGTACCTCTCACTGGTTCCAGGCATGGCACTAGTAGAAGCTGGCCTTGGTTCACAGCATGGCCTTGCCTCGGCACCTCCAAGTCCAGCACAAGTAGCAGCCATTGGCAGATCACTTTGTAGCCAATGCCGAGTGGTCCCCGGCAGAACACAGGCAGCAGCTGACCTTGGCCTGCACTTCCCAGGAGTCCCCAGAGCCAGCACTCCCAGTGGACAGCTTCAGACCACATTGAAACACAACCACCCAACCACCTCCATAAGCAACACACTCAAGGGACAGACTCAGCGGACACCAGAGCCTTGCTGAAATAAGTTGTGCTCTATGGGGTGAGCCCCTGCACAGCTAATCCTCCACTGTGGTCAGAGGTCAGTGGTCACAGCCAGTCCTTGCAGCTCTCTGGCCTGGGGATAAATCCCTCCTAGTGATATACCAACAGCAATCAAGGCTCAACTACAAGAGGATATACACAGCCCATATGGGGGAGTGCACCTCAAGTGCCCAGCTTGAGTGATCAGGGAGGTTGTGCCATAGCACATCTAGTACATTAGGCCACTCTACCAAGCCTGGGAGGTATAGCAGCTCTACCTAATATATAGAAATACAGGGAGACTGCCAAAATGAGGAGACAAAGAAACATGTCCCAAATGAAAGAGAGAACAAAACTCCAGAAAAAGAACTAAACAAAATGGAGACAAACAACCTACTAGCTGCAGAGTACAAAACACTGGTTATAAGGATATTCAATTAACTTAGCAGAGAGTAGATGAACTTAGTGAGAACTTCAGCAAAGATATAGGAAACAGAAAGTAGAACAAGAAACCATAAAAAAGAACCAGTCAGAAATGAAGACTACATTAACTTAAATGAAGAATATATTATAGGGAATCAACAGTGGAGTAGATGAAGCAGAGGATCAAATCAGAGATTTGGAAGGAAGCAGAAAACACCCAAGCAGAACAGCAAAAAGAAAAAAAGAATCCAAAAAACGAGTATAGTCTAAGGAGCCTCTAGGACAACTTCATGTACTAGTATATCAACACTCACATCATTGGGGTGACAGAAGGAGAAGAGTGTGTGCAAGGAATTGAAAGCCTATGTAAAAAAAATAATGAAGGAAAAAAGGCATACAAGTCCAGAAAACACAGAGAGTCCCAAACAAGATGAACCCAAAGAGGCCTACACCAAACCTATATAATAAAGAGGTAATATGCAAATTGACCACCACACCCTCATACAAGATGGCCGCCCCATGTGATCACAAGATGGCCGGCAGGGGAGGGTAGTTGTGGGTGATCAGGCAAGCAGGGAAGGCAGTTGGCGATGAACAGGCCAGCAGGGGAGGGCAGTTGGGGATGATTGTGCCAGCAGGGGAGCAGTTAGGCATTGATTAGGCAGGCAGGGGAGTGGTTAGGGCAGAGGTGGGCAAACTTTTTGACTCGAGGGCCACAATGGGTTCTTAAACTGGACCGGAGGGCCGGAACAAAAGCATGGATGGAGTGTTTGTGTGAACTAATATAAATTCAAAGTAAACATCATTACATAAAAGGGTATGGTCTTTTTTTTTTTTTTAGTTTTATTCATTTCAAACCAGTCGGATCCGGCCCACGGGCCGTAGTTTGCCCACAGCTGGGTTAGGGGGTGATTAGGCAGGCAGGCAGGCAAGCAGTTAGGAGCCAGCAGTCCCAGATTGTGAGAGGGATGTCTGACTGCCAGTTTAGGTCCGATCCCACAGGGGACTCAGATTAGAGAGGGTGCAGGCTGGGCTGAGGGACAACCCCCACCCTGTGCACAAATTTTGTGCATTAGGCCTCTAGTATACATTATAATTAAAATGCAGCCAAAACCGGTTTGGCTCAGTGGATAGAGCGTCGGCCTGTGGACTCAAGGGTCCCAGGTTCGATTCCAGTCAAGGGCATGTACCTGGGTTGCAGGCACATCCCCAGTGGGGGATGTGCAGGAGGCTGCTGATCGATGTTTCTCTCTCATCGATGTTTCTGGTTCTCTATCTCTCTCCCTTCCTCTCTGTAAAGAATCAATAAAATATAAAAATAAAATAAAATAAAATGCAAAATGTTAAATAAAAGAGAAAATATTAAAAGCAGCAAGAGAAAAGCTGTTAGTTACCTTCAAGGGAGCTCCCATAAGACTGTCAGTTGATATCTCAAAAAAAACTTTGTAGGCCTGAAGGGATTGGCAAGAAATATTCAAAGTGATAAAAAGCAAGGACCTACAACCAAGATTACTCTACCCAACAAAGCTATCATTTAGAATCAAAGGACAGATAGAGCTTTCCAGACAAGGAAAAACTAAAGGAGATCACCACCACCAAACCAATATAATATGAAATGTTAAAGGGTCGTCTTTAAGAGGAAGGAGAGAAAAAGATTAAAACAAAAAACAGCAGCCGAAACCGGTTTGGCTCAGTGGATAGAGCGTCGGCCTGCGGACTGAAGGGTCCCGGGTTCGATTCCGGTCAAGGGCATGTACCTGGGTTGCGGGCATATCCCCAGTGGGAGATGTGCAGGAGGCAGCTGATCAATGTTTCTCTCTCATCGATGTTTCTAACTCTCTATCTCTCTCCCTTCCTCTCTGTAAAAAATCAATAAAATATATTTAAAAAAAAAAACAGCAAAGCACAGGCTCCTAGTCCTGGAGTAAAAGTCATATTGCTACCTGCTTTATTCTCTTTTCCTGAGCCCATATCATCTATCAACCTCCCCAGGGAATTTAGAAACTTTAAACTTTTTAGGTTAAAAAGATAATGTGCCTCGAACATTGTTAAATAACACTATAATGTGAACATTGTTAGTTGGGCTCTCAAGAACAGGCTCTGCCCTGGAGGACCATTGATATAACAGAGAGCCCTAAAGGCCGATTAGAAGGAAAATCATTCCTAAGAATTAGCTCATTTGGGGAAAGAAAGGCCTACAAAGCTGGTGACATGAGAGATTATATCATAGTAAGATTGAAAAGGGGTTATGCACAGAAATTTTGTGACTCAAAAAAATGTAATTTGGCCTGTCTGTGTAGCTCAGTTGGTTAGAGCATCAACCTGATATACCAAGGTTATGGTTCTGTCCCTAGTCAAGAAACAGACAAGAATCAACCAATGATGCATAAATAAGTGGAACGACAAACTGGTATTCCTTTCTCTCTCTCCCTTCTCTCTCTCTCTAAAATCAATAAAATAATAAGTTTTTAAATGTAATGCCTCCTTGGGAAAAAAAAGATTTTACAATTTTACAAGTATTCTACTTTTGTGAATCAGGATATTCCAGAAGGTTTTTAAATATATCTCTTAAGGATATTTCAGTTGGTTTTCTTAGTATACAATTATGTCAATAATCAATGAATTATGGTAGGTTTTCATCAGCATTGGCGGTATTATACTAAACCTAAATAATGACTGGGACCGCCTTTGTAATTTTTTTCTTTCCAAAGTGCCTTTTTAGTATGTACAGCATTGGCTTTTGCTTTTAATTATATCATATTTCAATGTTTAAAAAGTTAGAAATCTCTATTATATTTTAGGTTTAAATCAAGATTCAATTTCGCATTTCATCAGATCAATTTTTGGTATCTACTGAGACAAATGAGTTTTTCTTCTTTTTTTCATATTACATTATAGTACACAATATTAGTACTTTTTCTTTTATTTACCTATATACTATTTGCAAAGATATGTGTACCCCTAGCCTGATTGGTGTGGCTCAATGGTTGAGCATCGACCCATAAACCAAGAGGTCACTGGTTTAATTCCCAATCAGGGCACATGCAGAAGGCAGCCAATCAATGTCACTCTCTCACCGATGTTTCTACCTCTGTATCCCTCTTCTCTTCCTCTCTCTCTAAAATCCATAAAAATATATTTTAAAAATAAATAAAATAAAAAACAGAGACCAAGAGAGGGAGAGAATAAGTATGTGCAACTTTTGTAATACGAAAAAACCCCAAATGTTATATGGAACCAGAAATACTTTCACACAACTAGCCAATATAAAAAACAGAAAATTAAATATAGATGACTTGATATGTAAGTATTAAACTAAAAATACAGACAACATGAATTATGTGAAGAATTTATCTTTCTTCCTAAACGTTCCATAAAAAGGTACCATATATTCAACCATAAGAAAAATGTCAATGATCCTACAAAGTAAAACTGAAATTAATAATAACGATGATTTCATTTTTTAATTCAATCACTTAAGATTGAAAACCACAGAGAATAACATCTGTCTTTCTTAATCACTCTGAGGTACTGAATCTGGACCATAGTAAAGGCACTCCATGGACATCTATTGAGGACACAATGTACTAGGCAATTTCAGAGTCATCATCTCATTTAAATCCTCCATACACACCCATGTTTCCCGCATTCTGACATATAAGGAACCTGGGGCTCCCACAGGTTTAGTCATATGCAGGCCTATGCAATAGAGCCGGTGTTCACCCCACGCCTGCCTGATTGCAAAGTCTATGACACCTAGCATATTTCTTATCCCTTTGACTATAACCATCACATAGATCTCAAACAAATCATCTCCACAAAATTAACAGAAGCCAAATTCATGAGTCTGCTAGTCTTTTCCATGTAGAGATAACTTGATGATTTTTTTTTTAAATATATTTTATTGATTTTTTACAGAGAGGAAGGGAGAGAGATAGAGAGTTAGAAACATCGATGAGAGAGGAACATCGATCAGCTGCCTCCTGCACATCTCCCACTGGGGATGTGCCCGCAACCCAGGTACATGCCCTTGACCGGAATCGAACCCGGAACCCTTCAGTCCGCAGGCCGACGCTCTATCCACTGAGCCAAACCGGTTTCGGCAACTTGATGATTTTTTAAGAGAAATGTCTGTGCATATCTTTACTACACACATGTTCACAAGTAAATAAAAAACCAAAAGTTGCCGAAACCGGTTTGGCTCAGTGGATAGAGCATCGGCTTGCGGACTGAAAGGTCCCAGGTTCGATTCCGGTCAAGGGCATGTACCTGGGTTGCGGGCACATCCCCAGTAGGAGATGTGTAGGAGGCAGCTGATCGATGTTTCACTCTCATCGATGTTTCTAACTCTCTATCTCTCTCCCTTCCTCTCTGTAAAAAATCAATAAAATATATTTTTAAAAAAAAAAAACAACAAAAAAAACAAAACAAAAAGTTCAGCCCAGCTGATGTTGCTCTGTGGTTGAGCATTGACCTATGAACCAGGAGGTCACAGTTTGATTCCCGATCAAGGCATATGCCCAGGTTGTGGGCTTGATCCCCAGTAGGAGACAGCCAATCAGTGATTTTCTCTCATCATTGATGTTTCTATCTCTCTCTCCCTCTCTTTTCCTCTCTGAAATTAAAAAATATGTATATTAAAAGAAAAGTTCATACAGATCTTTATATAATCTTGAAGTGTCAGCTTGGCAAGACTGAGTAATACATAAACGTCATTTGGAAAATAGTAAGACAAACCAATTAAGTAAAAATAAATACCCTCCAACCTCATCTCAACTTGGTGTGGTTAAAGAAAGAAAAAAAATTCATGAAGATATCAGACTTATTAATCATGACTAAAAATATGATGGCAAAGGATAGCTTTTTCTCCTTGATGTAGATATTACCTTCACCTATTCCTTCTAAATATAACTATACATTCTACCATTTATTGTTTTTTTATTAAAAAGCATTACGATTAAAAGAGAACACACAAAAATCCATAAAATCAAACAGAAACCAAACTACGTGCTGAGACTGTACAAATATACTGTGATATTTTATTACATATAATATTTTAATATCTTAAATATGAGATTAATGTTTTGACGTTACCTTCCTGGCATCTGATCTTTCTGGGATATAAATATAACGTCCCAAACGAGCATCAAACGGTACAGTATATGGTCTCTTTTCTGGTATCCTGGCATCTGGCCCATCTCCACAAATTTCCTTAGCTGAAGAAGTCATTGACAGGGTAAGTTTTGTTGGTTCTCCACTCAGTTGATCCAGAAGTTGTTGTTCTATTATTTTTTCATTCTTTGTAGAAGATGAGAATTTAAAAAATAGACATCCAAAGAGATGAGAATTTTAAAAATAGAGATCCTCAGTATGTGTATAAATAATGATAAAAAATGAATTGTACATTGACCAAAATCACAACTACAAATCACAATTACCTTAACAGTACAGTAAAACCTCATTTATTCAAAGACTAGCCTCTGGTGTTCACAAGGATCAAGTACTGTTCTGATTGGTAAACACTTTTGAATAGTAAGCAGCAACAAACACAGCAAAGATTTAAACACTCAAAAAATAAAAATAAAAGGCCCTATACACTGTGTTTGGTTGGTTTGGCAACCAGAACCACTCTGATTAGCTTATCTTTATAAAAATTTGGGCTTTCTGAGTGGAATCAAGAAGTATCAAGAGACGAGAAAGTTGAAAAAAGCTACAAATAGCAGAGGTGGCAGCAAAAGAGACAGCAGGTGCAGTGAAGTGAAAGCCTTTACTCAGTGAGGAAAAAGAAAGCCAAAGCACAAAGAGATAAAGGTAGACAAACAATAGTTATTCACACTTAGGTACATAGTAGACTTTTCTCAAAAATGAAAACTATCATTTTCAAGGGAAATAATTAATAGTATTTGTTATAAATTCTAAAACTTGGGTTTCATACAAAAAATTAGAATTTTGGAAAACATTTCTGCTATTGTGAGCATGAGGACAGCTTCTAATACTTAAAGACTGTTGAGAACAGTGGTGATAGTAATGAATATGATTTTTTGATATTGTATAATGAAATGTGTCAACATCTGGAAGGTCTGCATAACTTAGTAAATAAATATTTTCCAAATGACCAATGCATGATGATTCAAAAATCAGATGTGGATAAAAGATCCATTCAAAGTATAAGATAGGAAGGGACCAATGACTTTTAATGTATAGATCTTTTTTTTTCTTTATTAAGGTATTACATGTGTCCTTATCCCCCCCCCACCCCCCTGCATTCCCCCCCACACACTTATGCCCTCAACCCCCTGGTGTCTGTGTCCACTGGTTAGGCTTATATGAATGTATACAAGTCCTTTGGTTGATCTCTCCCCTTTACCTCAACCCTCCCCTACCTTCCCTCTGAGGTTTGAGCATCTGATCGATGCTTCTCTGTCTCTGGATCTGTTTTTGTTCATCAGTTTATGTTGTTTATTATATTCCACAAATGAGTGAGATCATGTGCTATTTATCTTTCTCTGACTGGCTTATTTTGCTTAGCATAATGCTCTCCAGGACCATCCATGCTGATGCAAATGGTAGGAGTTCCTTCCTTTTTACAGCAGCGTAGTATTCCATTGTGTAGATGTGCCATAATTTTTAATCCACTCATCTGTTGATGAGCACTTAGGCTGTTTCCAAATCTTAGCTATTGTAAATTGTGCTGCTATGAACATAGGGGTGCATATATCCTTTCTGATTGGTGTTTCTAGTTTCTTGGGATATATCCCTAGAAGTGGGATCACTGGGTCAAATGGGAGTTCCATTTTTAGTTTTTTGAGGAAACTCCATACTGTTCTCCACAGTGGCTGCACCAGTCTGCATTCTCACCAGCAGCGCACGAAGGTTCCTTTTTCTCCACATCCTTGCCAAGCACTTGTCGTTTGTTGATTTGTTGATGATAGCCATTCTGACAGGTGTGAGATGGTATTGCATTGTCATTTTGCTTTGCATCTCTCTGATGATTAGTGACTTTGAGCATGTTTGCATGTCTCTTGGCCTTCCTTCTGTCTTCTTTCAAAAAGTATTTAGGTCCATTGCCAATTTTTTGATTGGGTTGTCTTCCTTTTGTTAAATTGTACGAGTTCCCTGTAAATGTTGGAGATTAAACCCTTATCAGAGATAACATTGGCAAATATGTTCTCCCATGCAGTGGGCTTTCTTGTCGTTTTGTTGATGGTTTCTTTCACTGTGCAGCTTTTTATTTTGATGTAGTCCCATTGTTTATTTTCCCTTTAGTTTCCATTGCCTTAGGAGCTGTATAGGTGAAGAAATTGCTTCAGCATATGTCTGAGATTTTGCTGCCTGTGGATTCCTCTATGTTTAAGTCCATTATCCATTTTGAGTTTCTTTTTGAGTATGGTATAAGTTGGTGATCTAGTTTCATTTTTTTTTTTGCATGTATCTGTCCAATTTTTCCAACACCATTTATTGAAGAGACTGTCTTGACTCCATTGTATGTTCTTGCCTCCTTTGTCAAATATTAATTGAGCATAGTGCTTTGGGTTGATTTCTGGGTTTTCTATTCTATTCCATTGATCTATAATGACTGTGTTCTTGTGCCAGTACCAGGCAGTTTTCATAACAGTGGCTTTGTAATATAGCTCGATATCTGGTATTGAGATCCCTCCTACTTTGTTCTTCTTTCTCATGATTGCTGCAGCTATTTGGAGAGGGTCATGTTTTCTTATCCACTCAGCCACTCTATGTCTTTGGATTGGAACATTTAGTCTGTTTACGTTTAAAGTTATTATTGATAGGCACTTGTTTGAAGCTATTTTTATTTTTTGTGCCTGTGTTCCTTCTCCCCTTTTTATTTCTTCTTTCTACAGCAGTCCCTTTAGCATTTCTTGCATTGCTGGCTTGGTGGTGATAAACTCCCTTAGCTTTTTTTTATCTGTGAAGCTCCTTATTGCCCCTTCAATTTTTAAAAAAAATGTATTTTATTGATTTTTTAACAGCGAGGAAGGAGAGAGATAGAAAGTTAGAAACATTGATGGGAGAGAAACATCGATCAGCTGCCTCCCGCACACCCCCCACTGGGGATGTGCCCGCAACCGAGGCACATGCCCTTGACCGGAATCAAACCCGGGACCCTTCAGTCCGCAGGCTGACGCTCTATCCACTGAGCCAAACCGGTCAGGGCTCCCCTTCAATTTTGAATGCTAGCTTTGCTGGATAGAGTATTCTTGGATTCAGTCCCTTGCTTTGCATCACTTTGTATACTTCCTTTCATTCCTTTCTGGCCTGATGTGTTGAGAAATCATTTGATAATCTAATGGGAGATCCCTTGTAAGTAACTTCCTATCTCTCTCTTGCAGCCTTTAAGGTTCTCTTTGTCCTTAACAATAGCCACTGTAACTACAACGTACCTTGGTGTGGGTCTTTTGGAGTTCATCTTATTTGGGACTATCTGTGCTTGTGTAATTTTTTTCTTCCCCAAATCAGAGAAGTTTTCTGACATTATTTCTTCAAATAGGTTTTCTAACCCTTACTCCTCTTCTTGTCTTTCTGGCACCCCTATTATACATATGTTGCTCTGTTTCATGTTGTCCCAAAGCTCCCTTAGGCTCTCCTCCTGCCTTTGGTTTTTTTTCTCCAATTGCAGTTCAGATTGGGTGCATTTTGCTTCCCTGCCTTATAATTCACTAATTCGGTCCTCCGCTTCTTCTAGTCTACTGTTGAAAGCTTCTGTGGAGGTTTTTATTGTAGCTATAGCACTCTTTATTTCTTCCTGATTCTTACATAGGTTGTTGATTTTTTCATCCATCCAGTTTATGAATTGCATGACCCTTATTCTGAATTCTTTTTCTGACAAATTGCATGCCTTGGTTTTATTTAATTCATTTTCTGGTCATTCCTCCTTTTGTTTCCTTTGGGGTTTCTTTGTCTCCCCATTTTTGCTGTCTCTTTCTGGCCCTGGGCTACCTGCTTGGTGTTCAAGGGGTTGAGGCCCCTTGCAGTCCAATGGTCATGGACTCACTAGCACCAGGGACTGCGTCTCCCTTGAGTTTCACACCTTTTTTGTCTCTGCTCTGAGTTGTATCCCCTTCTCCCACAATTCTGGTCCCTCAATTATCCATTTCTCGGGGTTGGTGGGGGCCGGTGCATAGCACCCCTAGTGTGCAACTCTCTGTGAGAGCCCAGAGCCCTCTGGCATGCAGTACGCTGTGCTCCTCCAGCCGCTAAGGCAAGATGCTACCCTAGGTCCCTCTGGCAGTGCACTTGCAGCTTTGACGTGTGACCTGTGAGTTGGCGCACCAGGTCGCGCCAGCAGCTTTGACCTGGGCTGTGGGTAGGGCATGCAGAGATGACAGCTCTGTCTGTGCTGGGGGCGGGGTGTGCACTAGCCGAAGGCTCTGTCTGTGCTGGTGACAGAGCACCCACCGGCTCAAGGTTCTGTCTCAGCCAGATGCTAGCCCATTCTGGGCTGCAGCTCTGTCTGTGCCAGAGTGGGGCATGACCCAGCCAAAGGGTCTGTCTGTGCTGGTGGTGGAGCTGCTCTGTCTTTGTCGGGGTGCAGGGCACTTGCCCTTGAGGTTTCTGTCTACCAACGGAGCACACTCAGTCTATGCCAGGCTGTGGGTGCTTGCCCTGAAGGGCTCTTCCTATGCTAGTGGCTGGGCGAACTCAGTCTGTGCCAGAGGTGGGATGCTCACCCTCCAAGGGCTCTGCCTAAGCTGGAGGCAGAGGGCAAAGCTGGTGGCAGAGTGCACTCAGGCTGTGCCAAGAGGCAGGGCGCTTGCCCTTCGCAGGCTTTGCCTAAGTTGGTGGTGAAGTGCAAAGGTGGTGGCCGAGCATACTCCATCTGTGCAAGGGGCGGGGCCCTCACCCTCTGAGAGCTCTGCCTGGGCTGGCAGCAGAGTGTGCGCTGTCTGTCTAAGGGGCTGGGCACTTGCTCTGCTAGAGCTCTGCCTAAGTTGAAAGCAGAGCACAAAGCTGGCGGCATTGCACACTCAGGCTGTGCCAGAGGCAGGGGGCTGGCCCTGTGCAGACTTTGCCTAAGTTGGCAGCGAGTGCAAAACTGGGGGTGGAGCGTGGTCAGTCTGCACAAGGGGCGGGGCCCTCACCCTGTGCCCTGTGAGGGCTCTATGCTGGCCGTGGAGCTCAGTGTCAGGGGAGGGATGCTCACCTGGCTAGGGTTCCGTCTGGGCAGGAGTATAGGACACACTGGGCTGAGGTTCTGTATTGGTATCAGGGATGGAGCGGGGAGTGGGGTCCCATAGCTTGCACTCACAGCTCGAGGACCTGAAGCGTGGGATCCTGGGATGCTGGGTTTGGGCTCTGGTTAAGAGGCTCAGCTCCTCCGGAGGTCTGTCTGATGTGCTCCCACTGAAGTCATCTGGGACCCACGTCGCGGTACCGCGTTGCTCACTGCTTGGGCACGGTGGTGGTTCCACGTGGGTTAGAGCTGGCAAGCGGCTCCCTGGCCAGGTCCGGGGGTGCTGCCCGAGGTCAGTCGGGATGTTGGTGGGGCAGCACTCCTGGCCTCCTTCGCTCCCCTCTACAAGATGGCGTGCTTTCCGCACCAAAGCCAAACCGGCGTGGGGTGCCCATGGCGAGCCCAATCTGCCAGTCCCAGGTATTCCTGAGATATCTATCTGTCCCTCACTCACCCACGCACCCACCACCCACTTCCACACACGTTCCTCTCGCTTCTTTACTCTGTCACACTCTCCCTCTCCCTGCTGTCCTGTCGGCCACCATCTTCTGAATTCTAATGTATAGATTTTAATGTGACAAAATAGTTTCAAATCCGACATTGCAAGTAATCTTTAGAAAATTTCTACTTGTTGAGTTTGAGTGTGATTTCAAAGAAGAATATCCACAATTATCTAAAAAAGGCATTAAATATTCTCTTTCTAATTAAAAATCTCTATGATGCTGGATTTTCTTCATATATTTCAACTAAAACAACATATTGTGACAAACTGAATGCTGAAGCAGATATGAAAATTTACCTGTCTTCTATTAAGCCAGATATTAAAGAGATGTGCAAAAATGTAAAACAATTTCACTTATTTTTTGGTTTCTGGAAATATTATTTGTTCATGAAAAATAGTCTATATATTACCATATAATTAGATTAGTATTGTTATTTTTAATAAATTAATAATTAAATTTCTTGTTTTAATTCTAATATGGTAAATATCTATAGATACACTGAGCCTGTATAGCTCAGTTGGTTGGAGCATTATCCCATGCACCAGACGGTCATGGGTTCAATTCCCACTCAGGGCACATACCTAGGTTGCGGGTTCAATTCCAGTCGGGGGTGTATAGGAGGCAACTAATCAATGTATCTCTTTCATCAATGTTTCTATCTCTCTTTCTCTATCTCTCTCAAATCAATAAAAAATAATAATAAAAAAGAAAGCTGAGAACAAAATTTCAATGACTGCAATAACAAAGAATATGCAACTGGCTTTTCCCTAATACATATAAAAAGGTATTGAGGAAAGATTTCTAACTAGACAGCTATGTTTTAAATTATTTTTACATTTTAACTATGTTTTCCTACTTTAAAAATCTGGCAGAACATCTCTTTGCCCACTAAATTGCAAACTCCACATAAGCAGAACTAGGTATGTCTTGCTATTTACTACCTTTCCTGTGACACATAATCTTCACTCAATAAATGTTTTTTGAATGAAAAGTGGGGAAATGTAATTCTAAACTCAATGTATGTAAATGCAATACATATAATGCATACATGTACATATCTACATTTCTTAAATATTACCAAATATGATGATTTTGCTTCTTTAAAAAAAATCAGTACTCCAAATTCAAGGGATGAAGTATTTTTTCTTTCAAGAACCACTGACCCATAGAGGGATAAAACTCAGTAAAGTATAACTTAATTTTGTTCCTGAAACTATTTGTTCCCATCCTCTAAATTTAGTGACCAGGTCCACAAGATTGTACTTAATAAACATAACAACTTAAAATACATTTTACAGGAGAAAAAAGGAGGAGCCAGGAAAGGTATGAATATGAGAAGAAAGAACAGAAAAAGGGAGAAACAGAGCAAAGGCAAATGAGATTTTACATATAACCCTTTTAAAAATTTTCTGACATCCTACAATGACTTTTAGTGGCCCCAAATAAATTTAGTCCTTAAACACGTTATTTTATAAAAGCAGTGTCTATGTACCTGGCATTTCTTCAGCTCTCGCTTCAGTTGGTTAACTCTAATATGCTGTGGTCCTTCTTCCAGGTTTCCCATGCCGCAGCTTCCTCTGAATGAGCTGGGGATCACCTTCCTGACCTCCTGGGTCATGTTAAACCACTCCTGCAGCTTCTGTTGCTGCTTTTGGTTTAGACTGACAGTGTCCTTTAACTCCACCAGGAGTGTGAAGGCTTCCTCTATACAGTGTTGGTAACCCAGACATTCTCCTTGGAGCTGAGCTACTTGTTCCTCGAGAGAAAGGATCCTGTTATCAGGAGTCCCCTCTCGATGGATCTGGCTGGTTTGGCTATTACTAGCCTGCTGACTTTGCAAAGCTTCTCGAAGCAACTTAATCTCAAATTCCATTTCATCCATCCGGTCTGACTCAGGGCTGAAGTTTAAGGTGGGTTTGTTCCTGATGTTGCGTGCTCTATTGGCATATTTGAGAGAATTTAAGGATTCGTCAAAATTGAAGGACGATGGGCTGACACAAGTAATCATGACAGTCTTGGCAGTGCCTCCCAGAGAATCTTTCAGAAGCCGGGTAATTTTAGCATCCCTATACGGAATATGTGAACTCTTCCTGCGTGGGTCCCCAAGAGCACTTATTACATTTCCTAAAGCCAGCAACCCACTGTTGATCTGAATGGATTCTTTGAACCGTTCACCAGTATTCCCTGTTTTCGTTACTCTTTCTGATCCAGCCAAATCCACAAAATGGAACTTTGAGACAATATGCTGACGGGAAGACCATGATCCATCTTTAGCTGCCTCTGTATTTTTTTCAGCTTGACAAATGCTGATTGTAAAAATTGCATGTGATCTACTGGAGTGTTCATTCATTTGGGTGGTACTTGTACGCCTGGCTGCATTGCCCATCTCCAGGAGGCTCATCACTTCATCTGCACTCTCCACCTGGCATTCCTTGGCCCCGACAATCACTTAAAACAGCAAGTTTTTAAGTCAAGTTTTAATCAAAATCCAGTACAGTCAATTTAACCACATAACAGTTATTTGCTAGACTGCCCAGCTAAAACATTCCCTTTAAAAAATCAATAGTGCCCTAGCCGGTTTGGCTCAGTGGACAGAACAGTGGCCTGTGGACTGAAGGGTCCTGGGTTTGATTCCAGTCAAGGGCACATGCCTCAGCTGCAGGCTCCCAGGGCCCTGATGGGGGGCATGTGGGAGGTAACCAATGGATGTGTTTCTCTCACTTCGGTGTTTCTCTCTGTTTCTCCCTGTCTCTCCCCCTCTCTCTAAAAATCAAGGGAAAAATATCCTCGGATGAGGATTTAAAAAAAATCAATAGTATTTCAAACAATAGTAACAGCAGCAAGATTAATTAACTTTAGAGAATGTCCCAAAAGGGACATTTTACAGAGAGTGCTCAATTTGATGTTTAAATTCTAAAAGATACAATACTGTACATAGTTTGTAATGATCTGGTTTCTTTGCAGTCACACATCATACGCAATTCTTTAAACCAGCTAATAAGAGAAAAACTCTTAATTTCAGTATTTGATTTGGAGAAGCTAATGGATTAATTAAAAGATAATAAATTAATTAAATATATAACTCAAAAGAATTAATCAGCCCTGGCCAGATGGCTCAGTTGGTTGGAGTGTAGTCCCATACACCAAAAGGGTGCAGGTTCAATTCCCGGTCAGGACACATACCTAAGTTTTGGATTCAGTCCCTGGTCAGGGTGAGAAGGGAGGCAATGGATTGATGTTTCTCTCTCACATCAATATTTCTTTCTCTCCCTTCCTCTCTAAAATCAATAAATGTATCCTTAGGTGAGGATTAAAAAAAACAATTAGTAATAGATTCATTTTTAAAAAATAGTCTCTCTTGAATTTTGTTACTATTCAAGCTCTCTTTAGGTTTAAGGGTTTTTTTATATTGTGGAGTCACATCTAATGACAGATGAAAATTTTAGTATAAGTAAAGGTATTCATTTTAAAAGCAGGTGTGCCCTACATAATATCAGAGTGCAAGGTAAACAAACGAAATGGCAATTCAAAACAAGCAGAAAATTTCTATTTCAACAGCAGAATAAGAACAAGTAACCTAGGCTTACTATTACCACATGTTTATACCCAAAATTTTCAAAAAAGACTAGATAGATTTCAGATTTGAATCAAAGCAGTAAAGCTCCTAATTCTGAGGTCAAATTACAATGGTGTACTTCCTTTTTAATCAGATCCCATCATGCCACTGTTTCTTTGAAAAATAATCATTTTGCTTATATTATTTCGATCATGAAACCTTTTTTAACAACCTGGTTCATTTAAAGTTCTAAAGTACCTGTACTACAGACAATGCTAAAATATCAGCAATTATAAAACATGATAATATAACTATAAATTATAGCATAAATTTTATATAACTTTTCTAGTGTTAGGATATAGCTTAGTACTAGGTAAGGTTCTCAAGCCCAGCTGCAAATCACCTGGGGGGGAGCTTTATAAAAAAGAAAGTACCTGTGCCCAGGTCCCATCCCAGACTAATCTACACTAATAAAAGACAAAGATGCTAATTGACTGTACCCTTGCTACGCCCCCAAGCCACGCCCGCCAGCCAATCAGAGCGACTATATGCAAATTAACCCAACCAAGATGGCAGCTGGCAGCCACAGAGCTGGAGCAAGCAGGAGGCTTGGTTGCCCCAGCAATGGAGGAAGCCAAGCTTCCCGCAGGCCCTGGCCGGCTCTGAGCTCCACTCAAGGCAACAAAGTTTCAATTATAGAATATAAACAAACCCAAGATACCTGCTTCCAGCCAGCCTCCACTGGGAGCTTGGGTGGCTGGGGACTGTGGCCAGCCTGCAAACAGCCATCAACCCTTCACCCAAGCTGGCCAGGCACCCTAGGGGGAACCCCCACCCTGAGGGGTCTGTGGCCAGCCTGAAAACAGCCCTCAGCCCCTCACCCAGGCTGGCCAGGCACCTCAGTGGGGACCCCCAGCCTGAAGGGTCTGTGGCCAGCCTGAAAACGGCCCTCAGCCCCTCACCCAGGCTGGCCAGGAACCCCAGTGGGGACCCCCACCCTGAAGGGGCTGTGGACAGCCTGCAAACAGCCCTCAGCCCCTCACCCAGGCTGGCCAGGCACCCCAGCAGGACCCACCACCCTGAAGGGGTGTGGCCAGTCTGAAAATGACCCTCAGCCCCTCACCCAGGCTGGCCAGGCACCCCATGGGACCCCCACCCTGATCCAGGACACCCTTCAGGGCAAACCAGTCGACCCCGACCCATGCACCAGGCCTCTATCCTATATAATAAAAGAGTAATATGCAAATTGGCCCTAACAGCAGAACGACTGGGAATGACTGGTCACTATGACACACACTGACCACCATGGGGCAGACGCTCAATGCAGGAGCTGCCCCCTGGTGCTCAGTGCTCTCCCACAGGGGGAGCTCTGCTCAGCCACAAGCCAGGCTGACGGCTGCCAGTACAGCGGTGGTGGTGGGAGCCTCTCCCACCTCCTCAGCAGCGCTAAGGATGTCAGACTGCAGCTTAGGCCTGCTCCCCGCTGGCAAGTAGGCATCCCCCGAGAGCTCCCAGGCTGCCAGAGGGATGTCTGACTGCCAGCTTAGGCCCAATCCCCTGGGGAGCGGGCCTAAGCCAGCAGGTGGTTATCCCCCAAGGGGTCCCAGACTGTGAGAGGGCACAGGCCGGGCTGAGGGACTCCCCTGAGTGCACAAATTTTTGTGCACCCGGCCTCTAGTTCATTAGAATTTCTGAAAAGTAAGGCCCAGAAACCAGTGCTTTAAAAAAATATATTTGTATTGCTTTCAGAGAGGAAAAAAGAGGGAGAGATAGAAACATCAATGATGAGAGAGAATCATTGATCCGCTGCCTCCTGCACACCCCACACTGGGGATCAAGCCCGCAACCAGGCATGTGCCCTGACCAGGAAGAAATTTTAGTGACCTCCTGGTTCACTCAACCACTGAGCCATACCAGCTAGGCACCAATACTTTTTAAAAAGCTTCAAAGGTGGTGCTAATTGTGCCGCTTCCAGTTTGGATACCAACCATTGCTTCACACAAAGGACTCAATAAAAATGTCAAACAAGTGCATGTTGTAAGACATTATGTAAGATATATGGCAATTTGTCTTAACACAATTTGTTACATCCTGCAAAAAATTTTTGCAGAATTGATATCAGTCAGGGAATATTTTGACCATTAAGTTTATCAGGAATGACAATGTACCCTCCATACTGTGAGATAATTTTAAAATAAATGTATTATTTTTGTAATTTTTAATAAAAGATAAAAATATTCAGTAAATATATTTCACGATACAAAAGCTCAAAACTCCAGCCTGAATTCTGTTCAGAAAAAAATAGCTATATTGAATTATCTAATCTATATATATAAAAGCCAAGGGACCGAATGGCAGCAGAACGACCAGAATGACCAGTGGCTATGCCGTGCACTGCAGCGGCCAACCAGCCCGATCAGGGGCGGGGCCTGCCATCCAACCACCCGCAGCCCTTCCCTCTGCTGCCCCCGCCCCCCGATCGCCCAGCCCCCCATCACTGAAGTGTGACCTTCAGAAATTCTAAGTAAGTAAATGCTCTCCAGGCTCCATAGACCAGAAATCTGAATGACAAGTGATCAGGAGGAAAACTGCTCATGGTCTGGACCATCAGTCAGGTGTCCAGGAGAGGTGCCCAGCACAACCACCATCTTCCTGCATTCTCTCTCCACTGCTTCCTACCAAAGAGGGCAGCACATCACACCACGGCCTCTCTTTAGGGGGTTTGTCAGCAGGGAACTAAACCGCATTACCTGTCTAGGGGGAGGCTTAGAAACAGAAGCTGTAAGGGTCCCTGACACTGAAGTGCCTTTGAAGCTTCAACTCATCCTAAAGCCAACAGCAAATGTGTATACACCCTGCAAAGATCTTTGACACTAATAACTCCCCGCCCTCGCTCCCCCACATCAGGGGTGGGCGGCCGGACCCCACCCATGCACGAATTCATGCACCGGGCCTCTAGTAATTTCATAAACTACTATGTATGCGTTCTAAAAACAAACAAAAAAAAACAAAAACAATTTCTCCAAATGTCCAGGAATGCCATGGCTGCCAGACAGGGTCTCTAAGAAGATGAGCTTTACTGCCCCCTGCAGGCTGCTGTTTCAATGACTATAGCCATCTTATTTTCCTAGCTGCTAGGAAACTCCCTCAAGGAGTGACTCCATCACCAGGACCCTTTATCTCCTGGAAGGTTCTACTACATGTGTTTCCTAGGTGAGGAAGACATCCAAGAACAGTCACTTGTTATTAATAATAGTGAAAATTTTGAAACAGCCTAAATATCCAACAATGGAACAATAAATAAATTATTATAATACATTCAGAAGACAAATTACCACCTGACCACCAAGAGTCACAAGGCTGAAAACTATTTAAAGCCATGTGAAAATGTTCACAATACAAATATTAAGTGAAAAAATAAGATGTAATACTGTATGTGGGGGATCGCAAGTACATTTAAAAAAAAAAAACTCTACGTGCATACAAAAAGAAAACACAACAATAAGAGAAACTATTTTGGGTTCTGGGATCAAAAATAATCTTTTATTTTCTTCCTCATACTTTTTTATGTTTTCAAAGTATTTTATGTTGAATATTTTTCCTTTCAAATAAAAGAAGCATAAAGTATTATCCTTTAAAATACTTGCATTTTAACCCTCCCCTTCTAACCATCTCCTATTTCCAAACAAATGGATATTTAATGAGATTAATGGTTGTAAACACAGAAAATCAGACCTTGAGAAGCTCAACAAAGGACAGGTAAATGTTAGTATGGAGAAGCAAACACATAAACTCTCTACTAAAAAAAAAATAAGGAAGCAATAGGTGTGCTGGGACAAAAATCAAAGAACAAAGATGAGTTCTAGATCAACCTGGCTGAACACCAAAGGGAGAAGCCATCCCCTATCTTGGGGTAACTGAGAGGGGGAAAAAAGTACAAAAATTAATCTAGACTATTTCTCAGTCTGACTTAAGGTCAGTGTCGGGAGTGGAAGGAAGTGGGGCATTTTTAGGAACTAAGTATTATCTTGAATTACAACTTAATAACATCATCTTGCCTAACAGTTGAACTTCTACTTTTCACCTGGACAATTTAACTGATATTGTTAATCAATAAGATACTCAATTTTAAAGTAAAAACAAATTCATTTTGCTTCTATGTATTTCTAAAGCTTTGTTGGAATGTATCCAGAAACTGAATTAAATCATATCTATTTGCTAAAGAAGGCTATCTAGTAAGTAGGCTACTTTACCTGTGTTTCCTTTTTCATCTTCTCGGATGTGAAGATCCTTCACAGATGTCTCCAATTCTAGAAGATCTCTTAGGTCTTCCTTATATACTTCTATATAAGAAACTTTTATTTTAAAGTCAGTGCTAGGATTTTCGGAGATGTTTTGAAATATTTCTTGGATAGCTCGAGGAATGATACCCTTTTGACCTTCTACAACTGAAGCTGAAATTTTAGAAAAAAGAAAAAAAAAGCACATATGAAACTTAAAATATAAGAAAAGCTACAACATGAAAGTGACAATCAATACATTTATTTTCTTACAATTCTCTATACTATCAATCTTTTAAACCATAACTACAAAATTCATAGTTAAAAGTTTGCACATGCATGCCCTTACTCAAAATTTACTCATGCATTCATTCAACAAATATTTATTTAGTACCTTCTTTTTGCCATTCAGTATTCTAAGACCCTGGGAACCATTAGTGAACAAAACAGAAGAAAAAAAATCCCTGCCCTTATGGGACTGTACTGAAGATAGACAACAGCAAAAAAGAGTAACTGATAAGTGAATTAAATGGTATGTTAAAAGTGATAGGTATTCCAGATAAAAAACTGAGCAGGGTAAGGGGGAATGGATATGTAGGTGCATCTAGGTGGGAGGTGTTTGCAACGTTAGGTAGAAAAGTCATGATGGGCATCATTGAGAAGCCGACCTTTAAGCAAAGACTTGAAAGAGGTGGCAGAGGAACCATGTGCGTATCTGACGGAAGAGTAACCCAGGGAGAGAACAACCAGTACAAAGACGCTAAACTGATGTGATCCATTAGCAAGAAGGCCAGTGTGGTTGAAGCAGAGAGAGCGAGGGAAGTGACAGGGGATGAGGTCAGAGAGATGACAGAGCCAGAACATATAAGTCTGTGTAGAACACAGTAGACGTCGGGTTTTATTGTGTGAGAGCAGAGCACTGGAGGATAGTAGTAAGTTGCAATTTAAGAGCAATCTAAGTCTGGTGTTTTGCAAATGCCATAAAAGGGCAGGAGTGGGTGTGGGGAAACCACTTACAAGGCTGTGCAGTAATCAGGGAATCAAGAGGGCTGGGCAGGTTAATATAATGTGGCTCACAGCACGATGGTAGCAGAGAAAAGATGAGAAGTGACCCAATTTGGGATCTATGTTGAAAGGTACACCATTAAGATTCCCTGACAGATTGGATGTGAAATGTGAAAGAAAGCAATGAGTCAAGAATGACTCTAGTGCTGGCCAGTTTGGTCCCAGGTTCGATTCCAGTCAAGGCATGTACCTCAGTTGCAGGCTCCTCCGTGGCCTGAGCCCTGGTCAGGGCGCATGCAGGAGGCAACCGATCAATATGTTTCTCTCACATCGATGTTTCTCTCTCTTTCCCTCTTTCTCCCACTCTCCCTAAAAATCAATGGAAAAATATCCTCTGGTGAGGATTAACAACAACAAAAGAATGACTCTAAGGTTTTTTCTTGAGCCACTGGAGTTGCCATCAAAAAATATGGGTAAGAGTGGGGACTGAGTTGGTTTGAGGGGAAAATAGCAGAAGTTCATTTTTTGACCAATTAAGCTTGAGGCGTCTGTTAGCATCCAATTGAGATATTTAGTGGCCAATTGCAAAGACTAAACAGGCAATAGTTGGATATATATTAAGTCCAGAGTTCAAGGCAGTAGTCTGGATTGGATATTTTTTAAAAATTGGAAGTCAGCTACATATAGATGGTATTGAATATCATGAGACTGGATGAGATCAGGAAAAAAAGTAGTCATATACCTCTTTTCCTTTATCACTTCCACAACCCAGAACACAGATCTGCACAACATTATGAATGAACAACAGTGCATACTAGGGACTCAGATACTTGTACACCAATGTCCATAGCAGCATATTCACAACAGACAAAAAGGGGGGAAACTCAAGTGCCAACCAACACAGGAATGAATAAGCAAAATATGACATATAGATAAAATGGAATATTATTGTCATAAAAAGGAATAAGGTTCTGATACATGCTACAAGGAGGATGCCCTTGGAAACAAGTGAAAGAATCCAGACAGAGGAGGACAAATATTATATGATTCCACTTCTAAGAAATATCTAGAAGATGAAAATTCATAGAGAAAGAAAGCAAATTAGAGGTCACCAGGGGATGAGGAAGGGGAGTTATTTCTTAATGGATACAAAGTTTCTATTTGGGATGCTGAAAAAAAAAGGCAGTGATGGTTACAAAACATTAAGATTATGGTTAGAGCACTATAATCTTAAAATGTTTAAAATAGCCATAACCGGTTTGGCTCAGTGGATAGAGCGTCGGCCTGTGGACTGAAAGGTCCCGGGTTCGATTTTGGTCAGGGGCATGTACCTTGGTTGAGGGCACACCTTCCCTTCCCAGTGGGAGGTGTGCAGGAGGCAGCTGATCAATGTTTCTCTCTCGTCGATGTTTCTAACTCTCTATCTCTCTCTCCCTTCCTCTCTGTAAAAAATCAATAAAATAGATTTTAAAAAAATGGTTAAAATAGTAAATTTTATGTTATACTAGAGGCCCAGTGCACGAAATTCATGCACAGGTAGGGTCCCTAGGCCTGGCCAGTGATCAGAGCTGATCAGGGCCTTCTGGCTGCTGGCCGGGGACTCCCTTCCTCAGCTGCCGGCCGCCAGCCGGCACCTTCCTTCGTTCTGTGCCACCCCCTGTTGGTCAGTGCACATCATAGCGAGTGATAGAACTCCTGGTCTTCCAGTCTAACTCCTGTGGGGACACTTTGTATATTAGCCTTTTATATATATAGATATATATATTTACCATAATTTTTTAAATAGTAAATAAAAGTACAATATAAAATTTAAGATAAATGAATAAATGAAATAATAAATTGGGACTTAAGGTTAAATAAGTTTCTATAGGCCAATTTAGAAACAAACCTATCTACCATTTTCAGCATTGTTTCATGGTAAATATATTACAAGCTACAAAATGCTGGTTTACAAATGAACCTTAAAACCCACTTGTTTCCAAGCTGAAGATTACCAATGTTTAAATTTTTGGCAACAATCATCCTGAAAATCTGAACTTCTATTAAATTGGACTGCCTTTCACCTAATTTAAGATGTAATACTGCCATCGTGTGGCATGTACAGGAAGCTGTAGGTTTTCCAATACAAGGGAGAAAGTGGATTCCTTTTTGACAGCTTCTAGGATCAAGATAATAGCAATCTATAAACCAAAGTATAAGCATTCTGGATTAGCCAGTATGTATAGATGATCATTACCCACTTCAAAAGATAAGAAAAATCCCACAAAAATTCAAAAGACTTATCAAAAAGCTCAATTTCAAATAATATTAATAATAAAGCTTCAATACGTATTTTGGTAACCTATAAATCACATTTCAATGTTAGGCTTATATTCCTGAAATAAACTATTTCAGAGAGAGAATTTATAAAGTTTTGTACCTCAATAGTCATCATTTAGTTATTTATTATATGCTATTTAAAGAGTAGAGAAATAAAAGTTTTTAAAGATTAGGCCTAGTAGAAGTCAGTACATCCAAGGTTCTGAAAAATTGGAAAATGAATATTAGTTTAAATAAGAATCATATTAAACGCCCTTGTCTGCTTGGTTCAGTGAATAGAGCGTTGGCCTGCAGACTGAGGGGTCCCAGGTTCGATTCTGGCCAAGGGCACATGCCTGGGTTGCGGGCTTGATCCCCAGTAGGGGTTGTGCAGGAGGCAACTGATCAATGATTCTCTCTCATCATTGATGTTTCTATCTCTCTCTCCTTCTCCCTTCCTCTCTGAAATCAATAAAGAAATATATATATTTTTAAAAGAATCATATTAAAAAATAAGAAATTTTCATACTATCATAGTACGTAGCATGGTACCCTATATACAGCAAATGCTCAATAAATTATTTATTGGGGGGGAAAAACCAACATTATTTTCATGGTCAATAATTACAATGGCAGACAACTGACCCAGAATTGGAAATTTAATGTGATGAAATAATATTCTCAGAATTGGGAATGTCAATCTGGGAAACTGAAAATGCTCACTGGTTCATAGGCTGACGCTCTATCCACTGGGCCAAACCAGTTAGGACCAAAATTTATTTCTAATGGTGGTCTGTTTCTTCTGATAAAGAGCACCTCAGAATAGTTAAAAGTATTTTAGGACAATAGATAACTTTTTTCCTTAAAGAACTAAAATTACACTCCTGGCCTCTTAATAAAAAAACAATATAGCTATGCCTGGCCAGTGTAGCTCAGTGGTTGATTCCCAGTGAGGACACATGCCTGAGTTGTGGGCTTGAACCCAGGTGGGGGCCGTGCAGGAGGTAGCTAATCAATGATTCTCTCTCATCATTGATGTTTCCATCTCTCTCTCCCTTTCCTTTCCTCTCTGAAATCAATAAAAGTATATTTTTTTTAAAAAACCAATATAGTCCCTAGCTCAAGTATGTCAAACTTGTGGATCACAGGCCGCATCCAGCCCACAACGAATATTTTTGTGGCCCAGCCAATATAACTGTATATAAGAAACTTTTTAATAAAAATTTTGTAACTTAATTTTCACAATATCCTATTATACATATTAATAACGAACTACAACGTTCACTAATGACTGATTACTATAATTGTGTTGCATTCATTTCCCTTACACACCTTACGCGCAGGCGCACCATTTCTCCCCACTAATACTAGCAGCAAATATTCTAGCAGCCGATTGCCACGTCATTAGTCTTGTACTAACTTGTTTGGTGTGCGCAACAGAAAATATTTCGCTTTTGGAGAACAAGAAAAATAGGTTTACTAGTATTTGCATTACGCTTATTAATTTATGCAGTTATCAGTGTCTGGTAATTTAATGTTCAAGAACAAATATTAATTTTTATTAAAATGTCCTATTATTTTGTTAACGATTACTCATTTATTTTAGCCCTTTGTATTCAGCATGTCTCCATTGAAATAAACCTACATTTCTATGAAAATTGAAGCTTTTGGTTTTTGCAACCCACATAAACTTAAAACTTATATGGCCCATGTTAACCTTTGAGTTTGACATGCTTGCCCTAGGTGGTTTGGCTCAGTGGATAGAGTGTCACCCTGTGGATTGAAGGGTCCCGGGTTCTATTCTGGTCATGGGCACATGGTCAGGTTGGCTCGATCCCCAGTGTAGGGTCTGGGAGGCAGCCAAGCAATGATTCTCTCTCATCACTGATGTTTCTCTCTCTCTCCCCCTCTCCCTTCCTCTCTGAAATCAATAAAAATATATTTTTTTAAAAAACAATATAGCTATAATTATCACCAAGATCTGAACATTTTATACTCCTATTAGCATAAAGCACATACTGAGTCATTAAGGTCATAAAACATTGGCCAATAAAAAAGAAAAACAACAACAAAAAACTGTGATCTTCAAGAAAAACCACAATAGTAGAAAATCTGAAATTTATTTTATTGTGAGACCCTAAAATAATCTAATATCTTAAATCTCCTATTCCTGTATAACACTAATTCTAAAAAATTGGGCAAGGTAGTGGCATTAGGCACTTACGGCCCCTCCATTTACTCTTTGGAATGAGGGCTTCCTCAAACCACACAGCCACCTCCAAACCTCCCCGCACCCATCCCTGCACTCAACGGGAGATGTTTCTGAAACTTACATATTCTACATTTGAGAAGCATGAAAGTAGAAAAAAAATTGAAAGCCATTATACATATAGATAATACTAACGATCACTTTCAACAATGATCTATATGCACAACATTCAAAAGCTTGCTTTTAGTATGAAAATACCAATACAATTAACAGTCTCGACAGAAGACTTGGCTTTCAATTCCGCTCTGTCACCTGCCACCTAACTCAGTAAGCCCTTCGGCGTTCTGTGGCTGGAGCTCCTCACTCATAAATGAAATTATTTTCAAGGTTCTTTCCAGTTCTAAAGGAAATCTTATGATACTATCTTCTCTAAACTATTACAAGCAAGAGAAATGATATCCTAAAGTACTCAGTATTTAAAACAGAAATCTGTATACATATGTAAGGATGCATTAACTAGAAGGGAGGAATCCTTTCACAATGTACACACAGATCAAATCATCACAATGTATTCTTAAAATATCTTACAATTTGTCAACTAAACCTCAACAAAGTTGTAAAAAACTTTACAACTGGCTAACAATCTGGCTAAAAAATGGGGGAAAAAAAGAGTCTAAGTTACTTTCCTCTAAGTTCTGATTACAGGACTCTTAATATTTACAAGTGGACTATTATAAGATGCAAAATCTAGAAAAAATGCAAAATTACATCATGTTAACTCATGTCTAATTTAAATTCTGTTCAAAATGACAAAGGGCTGCCAGAGGCACATGGTTCAGGGGTGTGAGTAATGGTTATAAGTCCTGAGGTGACTACAGGTAACCATACTATATTGTATATTTAAAAGTTGCTAAGATTTCTCATCACAAGAATAAAAAAAATGAAACTGTGTGCAGTGATTCATATAAAATGAACTGTGGTAATCACTTTGCAATATAAACATATATCAAATCATTATGTTGTACACCTTGGACTAATATTTATATGTCAATTTATCTCAATAAAATTGGAAAAAATGTCAAAGGTCTAAACACTGAACATTGTCTTAAACTTCTTTCCTCAAACAAATATAACCATAAATTAAACTGTTTAATGAAAATTCAACTTAAAAAACGTTTTAAAGATGACGTATGAGCACACCTGATTATCCTATTCATTATTTCATTCAATCAATATGCTGAGCACCTGCCCTAACCGGTTTGGCTCAGTGGATAGAGCATCGGCCTGTGGACTGAAGGGTCCCAGGTTCGATTCTGGTTAAGGGCAGGTACCTTGGTTGCGGGCACATACCCACTAGGGAGCGTGCAAGAGGCAGCTGATCGATGTTTCTCTCTCATCGATGTTTCTAACTCTCTATCCCTCTCCCTTCCTCTCTGTAAAAAAATCAATAAAATATATATATTTTTAAAAAAATATGCTGAGCACCTACTATGTGTCAGGTGCTCTCATGTTGTAGCTTCTTTCAAGTGTTTCAAATGTCACAGACTATGAGAATCTTACCAACATGGCCTCCTCCGATGGTGTATGTCTTCCCAGATCCAGTCTGTCCATAGGCAAAAACAGTTACATTATAGCCTTCAATGAGGGATAACACTAGTGGCTTTATGCACGTATTATAAACTTCGTCTTGAGTGGAACTTTTGCCAAAAACAAAATCAAAAGTAAAGATTCTGTCTCTCCCAATGATAATTTGCTGGGTGTTTGGAATAACTCTCACACAAACTTGATGATTATGAAGAACTTCTTTGCATAGCAGAGGTCTAATTCTTACAGCAACTTTTACTGGTATTTCCTCCATGGCAGCTTAGATTTTCCTAACAGATTTTCTACTTAACATTCAGTGTCTAGTGTGAGAGCCATCCATTTTACATAAGATCTGGACTCCTGTGTATCAAAATAAAAACAAAATTTAATTACTAACTCTTCCCTAAAAAGTAAATCATCATCTAAAGCAAAGTCAATTAGAACAGGTTTTGTTCCAACATAAGCTAGTTACAAAGAATAAATCTGTCTTGTAAAGGACATCTATAATTTATAGATGAAATGATATGATGTCTGGATTTGCTGTAAATAATCTAAGGGGTAGAGGCCATGAGTTGGTAAATGATGAAAACTAAATGATAAGCACATGGGATTCCATTGTGCCCTTCTTTCTGTAATTATAGTATATTTCCCAGCTCATTAATCTAAATATTGAATAATTGGGGAGTTAAAAAATTAAATCAAAGAAAATAACTAGGTAATTGTACACGTTAAAAGCAAATCCTTACACTAGGTTTTATAGCTATATATTTAAAAATAACATCTCCTCATTGCCACAAATATTATAAATAAATCCATGAAATAATGTTAAGGATTTCCATAAGTCATTTTTTATTCAAAAATAATCAAAACTGAGAAACTGCTTTTCTCCTCCTAAATTGTTATACTAATTGCTGAAGATCTCTAGTGGAATTAATACATTAAAAATTAAACTGGGCCCTAACTGGTTTGGCTCAGTGGAGAGAGCGTTGGCCTGCGGACTCAAGGGTCCCAGGTTCGATTCCGGTCAAGGGCATGTACCTTGGTTGCGGGCACATCCCCAGTCAGGAGTGTGCAGGAGGCAGCTGATCAATGTTTCTCTCTCATCGATGTTTCTAACTCTCTATCCCTCTCCCTTCCTCTCTGTAAAAAATCAATAAAATATATTTTTAAAAAATTAAACTGTGCTGGGCTGGGCTGCTGAGGCTCAATAGCTGAGCATTGGCGTATGAACCAAGAGGTCATGGTTTGATTCCCGGTCAGGGCACATGCCTGGGTTTTGGTCTCAATCCCCAGTAAGGGGTGTGCAGGAGGCAGCTGATCGATGATTCTTTCTCATCACTAATGTCTCTATCTCTCTCCCTCTCCCTCCCTTTCTCTGAAATTAATAAAAATATATCTTTTAAAAAAATTAAATTGGTAGCTACACTTACAATGAACAACCTGAAAAAATAAATTAAGAAAACAATTCTAACCCTAGCCTATTTGGCTCAGTGGTTAGAACATCTGCCCAAGAACTGAAGGATTCAGGGTTCAACTCCGGTCAAGGGCATGTACCTCAGTTGCAGGCTTGATCCCTAGCCCTGGTTGGGGAGCACGTTGGGAGCAACTAATCCATGTCCCTCTCACATCGATGTTTCTCTCTCCCCCTCCCTTCCATTCTGTCTAAAACTCAATGGGAAAAAATATCCTTGGATGAAGAGTAGCAACAACAAAAAGAAAACACTTCCATTTACAATAGCATTAAAGGAATAAAATACTTCGGAATACATTTTTTAAAAAGGTGTTTAAAACTGATACTTTGAAAACTACAAAATATTGTTGGAAGAATGAAGATCTAAATAAATGGAAAAGCATCTCCTGTTCATGGATTGCAAGGCATTGTTGAGATGACAATGCAATATTCCCCAAACCGATCTAAAGGTTCAACACAAGTCCTATCAGAATCCCAGCTGACTTCTTTATAGAAGTTGACAAGCTCATCCAAAAATTTATATGGAAATCCGAGGGACACAGAATACCAAAAACAATATTGAAAAAGAACAAAATTGGAGGACACACTTCCCCAATTTTAAAATCAAGCAATAGCATTCCAGAAGGTATGGTATGGGCATAGCCAGACTTAGAGATCAATGGAAAAGAACTGAGGACCCAGAAATAAACCATCACATTTACAGGCAATTAATTTTCAACAAGCAGGCGAAGACAACTCAATGGGGGAAAACAGTCTTTTCAACAAAAGGTCATGTACAACTGGATATCCACCCTCCAGTCGGACTCCTATTTCACATGCACCAAAGTTAATGAAAAATGATTCATATACGTAAATGTAAGGTCGAAACTATAAAATTCGTAAAAGAAAACATGGGGGTAACTCTTGCTAACTTTAGATTTGGCAACGGTTGTTCAGATACAACACCGAAAGCAAGAGGAATAAGCAATAAAATGAAAAAATAGATAAAATCCACTTAATCAAATGCAAAAGTTTTGAGCCTCAAAAGACACCATCAGCCCTAGCTGATTTGGCTCAGCGGATAGAGTATTGGCCGGTGGGCTGAAAGGTCTCGGGTTAGATTCTGGTCAAAGGAACATATGCTAGTTGCAGGCCCAATCCCCAGTGGGGGGGAATGCAGGAGGCAGCTAATCAATGATTCTCTCTCATCACTGATGTTTCTAACTCTCTCTCCCTCTCCCTACCTCTGAAATCACTAAAAAAATATTTTTTAAAAAACACAAAACTTGTAGGTCTTGGTAGGATAAAAAGTTTACAAATGTAACAAGCAATCTATAATAAAGTTTAGTGTAGATGATGAAAAATAATCAGTTTGGGAGAAGGGAAGTCTTAAACAATATCATTAAGTAATCTAGTAGACTAATGAAAAAAGTAACATTTGCTTGCTATGGAAATGTTAATTTAGACATATTTAATATTCACTAGCCTTTAAAAACTGTGCAGCAATACTGTGCATTTGCAACTTTGTGAGTGGATAGTCTGAAAAGGATCACAATAACAAAAAACATTTACATCACTCTACTAAGAGCCCGCTGAGAGTAAAATAATATCAGCTCCCTTGGACCATAAAATCCCAAAATAGTTAGCAAACTATCTTTAATGGCCAAAAAGATGCATCTAATCTTGTCAGTTTTATTCATTCTACTAAAACCCATCACTGAACAACTAAATACTCATATGTATAGTAAATCTTTTCAGGGATCCTAAAGGTCTCTACAATCATCTGCTGCTGGGAACTTTTCCAAAGAAATTGCAGAGACGCTGTGCTGAGCTGGTTCTTCCCAATGTCTTTAAACACCTACATTAGAAGTTTCATCATACAGATTAGTTGTGTGTGTTTTTATACCATCACATTAAAACAAGTCATGGTCTGTGTTCAGCCAAGACTAACTACTTCCAACGAAATTGCTAATAAAAAGTACTAAGTATAATTGGGATATTTTCATGTTCTTGCCCCCCCCCCCCCCCCAGTGAACATATATTTTTAATGAATATATTTCTTTCATAAGACAGCCATTAAAGCAAATTAACTAAGTGGTGATATATTTTCAAACGATGCAAAACAAACACATACACACAAACAAAAACTGGTTTTAGGCTGATGCAAGAAGGTATGTGTTTCTCAATCTGATAAAGAGAGTGGGTTTAGACAAAGTGAAAATCAAGAAATTTCTTTCTCAAAATGAATGTGCATAAGGACTCAAAGGGCAGACGAGCAGAGAAAAGCAGTCTTGAATCCCTGTGGCCTCAGCAGGAACATCGCTGTCCATGGTTACCAGCCCTAATCAGTGTGCTCAAATGCCACCATCTTTGCCGGCTAGCGTAGTCTCATTGTTTGTTTTTGGTAATAGCACACTTGTGTTTCCCATGGAATGCTGATTTAAATCAATGGAGAGGAAGTTCTTTTTTAGAAAGTTCTGAATTCTTCCTTTCAAACAGGTTTTGTTTTGTTACTTTTGTCATTAGTTCTGTCCTTTTCTGCATTTCTCTTTTTAAGAAACTTGACCCACAGGAGATACCAATGAGATTTCCAAGCCTTCCACTGCCTTTCAAAACCTGTATAATACTTAAACTTTGCGCATTTACACAATTGCTCCTGATTTCTTAACTTTAGATAGCAACACTATTAATTTTCTCAAAGTGGTTAGAGATGTAAATACTCCTCCTCCATTCTTTCGTTTCTTTACAATGGCAATATATATTATCAACCATCCTGTCTTTTGGAATTTCACTTTTTCTCATTCCCACTGAGTAGTAGGAGAAAGGACTAAGAGATGTGCAAACCTGTAGAGACTTTTTATAAATGTGTATTTGAACGAGACGGGCAGCATGATCTCAAATGCTCCCCCACTTGGTTTATTTTTAATATATATAACAGGAATTTAGCTACAAAGGCTAGGACCCATAAACATATGGTTTGCAAAAAATTAATATATACGAATTTGTTTAAAAATCCACAGCACTTACACTTCTTCAGCTTCTGATCAATTACAGTAATCAGAAATATATCTATTATGTCATCGTTAAATGTAAAGGAAGGTGAAATCTGACTGGCTGGTAATCTATAGGCATACTCAATGGGAGTTTGAAATCTGAGTAAAGACAAGATAAATATTTGATCACCGAAGCCATGTCATTAATCAGAAATAAGTGTTTCCAAATGCGGCTGGCATCCTGTGCCCTTGGTTTTTCAGAAGGAGTGGTTATCTAAAAGTTGTGGCTTGTTAATATTTCCGTAAGAAACTTCCCAGCAAATGGAAAGTGACTCGCGTAAGGACCTCAGAAAAGGCTTCAACTCCATAAAGTTCTAGCTGGAGAAGACAGGAAGTAAAGAGGGGAAACATCGACGGTTTAAAAACTTGAAGAGGCCGGTGTTATTTGAAAGGCGTTTTCAAGGAAGAATCTGGCATCCTTTCTCGGTCATCAGCTACCTCTGCGGGAGGGGGGTCGGACTTCAGCGCCCAGAACGCGCCAAGTTTCGACATCCGCGAGGGAAAAAGGCGCCTGCGACAAAGCGAACCCCCCAGAGGGGTGGCCCTTCCCACTCCTTCCAGATCCCGCAGCTGGAAGGTCAAACACGAGAACTACCGAGGGTCCGACTCCAGAGCCGCTCGGTCCCGCGCTCCCACGCATCCTACTCCCCCGACCTCCTCAGGGGCGCCCAACCTCCTCCGGCGGGGTCCCCAGCACCCCGCGGGCGCCGTCGTCTGCCGAGCCGGCTCCCCAACTGCCCCCCGCCCCCACAACGGAGTCCACCCGCGGCGGCCCCCGAGCGCGCCCCTCCCGGCCCGCGCTTCCTCCTCCCAACGGCGGGCCCGGGACGCGGCAGGCGGGAGGAAGCTCCGCACCCGGCCTCGCCAGCCCGGCCGGCCCGCCCGCCGCGCACTGACCGGCCAGAGAAAGCCCGTCCCGGCGGCGAGCGCAGCGCAGAACTCCTCGGTTTCCTTCCACCGCGCCGCCGCCGCCGCCGCAGTCCGCGCCTTTTGTTGTCACGGGTTCTCCCGGCAACCGGCGAAGCCCGACGCCGACGCGCCCCCTCCCGGCCGGGCGTCACGCTGCGCCTTGGGCCCCGCCCCTCCCCGTCAAGCCCCGCCCCGCCCCACCCCACCAAAAGTTGTATGACATGACAGCAAGTTGATAGGACAAAAGCTTCAATGAACAACAGTAACAATTTAGATTTGCGAATTCCTAGGAAGGCTAACCAAAACATTTGTGGCGGAGGATTGTTAGCAGGAACTTAAAGATATGCCAGTCCCGGAGTCTAGTCCCATGATGAATAAAACCAAAGCTTGACCACGTGGACCTAAAAGGCCTCTAGAATTAGAAGAAAGCCAAAGTCTGGCTTGCATCAATGTTTTACTCCACTGATAAACAATGCAAATGAAAATGATAAACAACCATTTTCACCTATTAAGTTGTCAACAACTTATTGTAATGTAATATCGGCAAGTGAGACAGATACTTTTACACATAATCCAACCTCTTGTCATCTCTCCCAAAAAAATAGAGATATTGATAATCATGTACAAATATGTCCATTATGGTATTATTTATAATAGCAAAAACTTGGAAGTTACATATACGTTCAATGAAAGGGATTGATAAATTAACAATAGTACATTTATAAGAATATTATGTCCTCATTGAAATTCATGTTTACAGAAATTTGGTACAAGAAAATACTTACAAATTAAGGATGCAAATAGTGTATAGTTTTCTTACCTGAAGAACTGGGATAAAAATCATCTCTACTTCATAAGGTTGTTTTGAAGTTTAAAAGGAGAAAATAATTGTAAAACACACAGAACAGTAACTATTTAAAAGTTACTAGGTGGCTAGAATTATGATAATTTCCTCAAATACACATATAAAAAACATAAGACAGGGCCCTGGCCAGATAACTCTGTTAGAGTGTCGTCCCAATACATTAAGTTTGAAAGTTTAATCTCCAGTCAGAGCACCTACAAGAATCAACTAATGCATAAATAAGTGAAACAACAAATCAATGTTTCTCTCTCTCCCCCCCCCTCTAAAAACCAATCAATAAAAAAAAAACAACCACAAGGTAGTAAAACTATTCAACAAAATTATAACACTCATCAACACTAAATCAAAGTTCATTTTTAAAAATTTTTATTTGGGTGACATCCTATATAACAAAAGCCCAGTGATGCTTATGGCAGGATGACCAGAACAACCAGTCGCTATGGCACGCACTGACCACCAGGGGACAGACGTTTAACGCAGGAGCTGCCCCCAGTTGGTCAGTGCATTCCCACAGTGGGAGCACCGCTCTGCCAAAAACCAGGCTGGCGAGTACAACTGCGGTGGCAGGAGCCTCTCCCACCTCTGGGGCAGCACTAAGGAGCTGCGAGCCAAGTGGTAAGCAGCGAGGAGCAGGAGGGGGGTAAGGAGCAGGCAGGTGGTAAGGAGCGAGCAGGCAGGCAGTTAGGAGTGAGGGGTCCCGGATTGTGAGAGGGATGTCTGACTGCTGGTTTAGGCCTGATCTAAATGGCAGTCAGACATCCCCCCAGGGGTCCTGGATTGCGGGAGGGCACAGGCTAGGTTGAGGGACTCTCCACCCTGCATGAATTTCGTGAGTCAGGACTCTAGTTGGTTAATAAAATTATATAGGTTTCAATTAAAGGTCATTTTACAAATTGAATCAACTAAGGTATTGGTTCCAAGGAACAGAACCAATTCTGAATTATTTAAGAAAAAAATGACTTGTTTGAAAAGTTTATAATTAGCCCTAGCCAGTTTGGCTCAGTGGATAGAGTGTCAGGCTGAGGACTGAAGGGTCCCAGGTTTGATTCTGGTCAAGGGCATGTACCATGGTTGCAGGCTCCTTCCTGGCCCGGGCCCTGGTTGGAGCTCATGCAGGAGGCAACCAGTTGATGTGTTTCTCTCACATCAGTGTTTCTCTCTGTCTTTCCCTCTCTCTTCCACTCTCCCTAAAAATCAATGGAAAAATATCCTTGGGGGGAGGATTTAAAAAGAAAAAAGAAAGAAGAAAAAAAAAAAAATATATATATATATATATATATATATATATATATATATATATCCTATCTAATAAAAAAGAAACATGGTAATTAGCGTACGACTGCTACCCTTCCCATTGGCTAATCAGGGCAATATGCAAATTACTGCCAGCCAAGACGGCGGCCGGCAACCAGGCAGCTTAAAGCGAACATGAGGCTTGCTTGCTTCAGTGACGGAGGACTCCAACGTTCCCTGCCTGCCGCTGCCGGCCTCTGAGCTGCAACTCTAAGCAACTATGTTACAAATATAGAAGCTAAACAAAACCCCAGAAACCTGCTTTAGTCTGCCAGGCTTCAGCCAGCAGGATCGCAACATTGTTTCAAATACAGAAGGTAAACAAAGGCCAGAAACCTGCTTTCAGCAGTGGGGGCCTAAGAGCTGGAGCCTCAGAGCTAAAGCTGGCCCAGAATAAAAAAGAAAAAGAAAAAAAGGAGCGGTTGGGAACTTCAGTCACCCACCAGCCTGAAAACAGCCCTCAGCCCCTCACCCAGACTGGCCAGGCAACCCAGTGGGGACCCCCACCCTGAAGGGTGTGTGACCAACTGCAAACAGCCATCATCCCCTCATCCAGGCTGGCCAGGCACCCTAGTGGGGACCCCCACCCTGATCCAGCACACCCTGCAGGGCAAACCAGCCGGCCCCCACCCATGTACCAGGCCTCTATCTTATATAGTAAAAGGGTAATATGCCTCCCAGCACCGGGATCAGCGGAGCCGCGAGGCCTCCTGGCACCGGGATCAGCATGACAGGGGGCAGTGCCTAAACCCCTGATTGCCCTGCGGCTCTGTGTGTGACAGGGGGCAGGGCCACAACCTCCCTATTGGCCCTGCTCTGTTCATGACAGGGGAAGGCGCCCCAACATCCTGATCAGCCCTGCTCTGTGCCTGATAGGGGGGAGCTCCCCAACACCCTGATTGCTCTGTGGCTCTGTGTGTGATAGGGTGCGGCGCCCCAACCCCCTGCTCTGTGAGTGACAGGGTGCGGCGCCCCAACCCCACCCCCCGCGCCCCCTCACGGACCCTGCTCTGTGTGTGACGGGGTAGAGCCATAACCTCCCCATCGGCCCTGCCCTGAGTGTGACAGTGGCGGCACCCCAACCCCCTGATCGGCCCTGCTCTGTGGGTGATAGAGGGCGACGCCCCAACCGCCCCCCCACGGGTCCTGCTCTGTGTGTGACGGGGTAGAGCCATAACCTCTCCATTGGCCCTGCCCTGAGTGTGACAGGGTGTGGCGCCCCAACCCCCTGCTCCACCCTGCTCTGTGTGTGACAGGGGGCAGTGCCCCAACTCCCCTATCGGCCCTACTCTGTGAGTGACAGAGGGGAGCTCCCCAACCCCCTGATTGGCCCTGCTCTGTGCGTGACAGGGGGGAGCTCCCCAACCCCCTGATTGGCCCTGCTCTGTGCGTGACAGGGGGGAGCTCCCCAACCCCCTGATTGGCCCTGCTCTGTGCGTGACAGGGGGGAGCTCCCCAACCCCCTGATTGACCCTGCTCTGTGCGTGACAGGGGGGAGCTCCCCAACCCCCTGATTGGCCCTGCTCTGTGCGTGACAGGGGGGAGCTCCCCAACCCCCTGATTGACCCTGCTCTGTGCGTGACAGGGTACGGAGCCCCAACCCCCCTGATGGGCCCTGCTCTGTGAGTGACAGGGGGCAGCGCCCCAACCCCCTGATTGGCCCTGCTCTGTATGTGACAGGGGGTGGCACCGCAACCTGCCCATCGACCCTGCCTTGAGTATGACAGGGGGCGGTGCCCCAACCACCCAATCAGCCCTACCCTGAGCATGACTGAGGGTGGCATCGCAACCTCCCGATCCACCCTGCTCTGTGCATGACAGGGGCGGCGCCCCAACTCCCCAATCAACCCTGCTCTGAGTCCAACCAGGGGCTGCACCTAGGGATTGGGCCTGCCCTCTGCCACCCGGGAGCAGGCCTAAGCCAGCAGGTCGTTATCTCCCGAGGGGTCCCAGACTGTGAGAGGGCACAGGCCAGGCTGAGGGACCCCCCCCTTCCCCCAAGTGCATAAATTTTTGTGCACCCTCTAGTGTATATATATATATATATATATATATATATATATATATATATATTCATGTGACTTGAAATGAAATGTGAAAAGTTATGTTTTAGAATCTATGAAATAGAACATACTCCTATATATTCATTAGTTTATTTAAAGGAGACCCCTATTCTGTTGCATCAATTAATATATTCCTGTACCAATAACATGCTGCTTTAATTACTATAACTTTCTTGTATATTTTGCTATATAATAGGGCCAAGCACTTCCATGTTGTTCTAAGTTTTCTTAGCTATTCTTGACATTTGTTTTCCTAAAGAACTTTTGAATCAGTTTGACAATTTTCAGAAGAAAGTTCCATTGAGAGTTTTAAAAATGGGATTGCATTTAATTTTTTAAAATTTATAAGTACATTGTTTTTGTAAACATAAAGGACAACTTTAAAAAATAAGAACTTCAATGGCTCTTTATGATAAAGTCCAATCTTCTGACATGGCATACAAGGCCTTCCAGATTCTATTTTTGCCTAGGTTTCTAGACTTATTCCTGCTATTTCTTATCTCACATTTTATTCTTCAGTATCAGCAGAGACCATATATTATTTTTTTAATAGTCTGGCAGTTCCTTTTTTAAATATGCTTTTATTTATTTTAGAGAGAGAGAGGGAGAGGAAGAGGTAGAAACATCAATGCATCAACATCAATGGGCTGCCTCCTGTGTGCCCCCTGTTGGGGATCAATCCTGAAACCTGGGCATGTGCCCTGATCTGGAATAGAACCAGTGGCCTCTTGGTGCATGGGTTGATATTCAACCACTGAGCCACACCAGCTGGACTATTATTTAGTTTTATGACCCCACTGTTGAACCATCAGTATTTAATATATAGTAAATATTAAGCTCATTGCATAGATTCAATAAATGTTTATGAAACATTTAAAAACAGGAAACAAAAAAT